AGGATCTGAGGATGCCATGCATATGTATATACACATCAAACTGCTCTTCAGAGGGGCAAGACAGGACACTCCCATCCCAGCCAGCACTGTAATACCTGTGTCCTGTCACAGCCTAAACTCCAGTCCTTCTATTTCTGCTAACTCAGCAGGACTAACAGCTCCATCCCATCTACACTTTTTTATTTTTACTTCTTGATTTCTTCTTGACATTTCGTGTCAGTCTTCAGTAACTGCAGCTGCCAGGGACAAATGTTTTCAATTAATTACGAGAATAGCATAAGGCTGTGGGTGCTGCTGAAAAGGTGAGGATCATATCCTCACCTCCCTCACTGGCACCACAACCGTGTTCTTCAGACCCTCTAGGCCCCGTCACTGTCCTCTTTGGTGCTTCTGCAAATACCAACGCTGAGGGTACTGCAGGGCCACAGCTCCTTTAACACAGTCACAGGCAAGTCCCGCAGCACCTGAGGTTTTTGGTATCTGTCTCTCTCGCTATACTCGCTTACCAGAACTGCAAATGCAAGCCCTGCAGATTTGTTGCTCAAGCGACAGGGCGATGGATGAGTGAACTCCAGCGTCGTACTGGTTATGCACAGCTCCGACCCAGCAGACGACCTGATCCTTTCAGGAAAGAGGTGTAACACCACACGTAACCATTAACCACCAGTGCAGCCACCTCTCTCCAAACATTTCAGACTGAGTGGGATATGGGATTATACAAAGTGTGAAAGACAAAACGTTGACAAAAAAAATAATAATAAGCGATGAAATTTACCACAGCGCTCTGAAATCTTGCAGAAGGAAAGCGTATGTGTAAGTTTCAGTATTCAAAAACACCAATTAGTTCATTGCCTAGTGGCTTCCTGAAGTTTTCTAACGTGGGGAGGGAAGCTTTGACTCATGACTTTAAAGCAATGGAGGAACAGCCACGCTACTGCTCACAGAGCAGGGCAGAAACACGGCTGCCACAGTCCTGCTGTTCTGTCACGGGGAAGCTCTCAGCTGTGCCCCAGCTCGTCCCAAAGCACTGCTCCCAAACACAGGCCCAGCTCACGCCACCACCGCCAAACGCAGAAGGGAGGAGAGGTCACAGGCAAGCCTGGTGTGCCTGAGTGCACGTATGCTGCGAGGGTGTGTGTGGGGGCCAAAGATGATGTAAAACCTTGCTGTTCTGGGTGTTTCTGGTATTTCTGGCACTATTAATTCTCCCTTTCTCCTCCTGGATCCACTGCCACCACCTTGTGGTGGAAGTGTGGAGTACTGGAGACTTGTGAGCTAAAAAGATTTAAATAACTTACACATGGCAAAGGAGAAAAGTCAGAAAATTTCCCTGTGTGACAGGAGGAACGCCTTTCTTTCTGACACGATTTGAGTGAGGTGTTATCGTACCTATCCAGTAGCAAGAAAAAAAGAAAGAAAATGAAAACAGGCAAAGGAAAGTGAACACAGGTGGAAGGTGGGACAGATCACGGCCTTACTGACTACAAGATATAATGCAGGGTAATAATATATTCTTACATACCCATACATATTTTTGCAAGAGGTGGTTGGTTACACTTAAAAAAAAAAAAAAAAAAAAAACCCAACAACAACCAACCAACCAAAGCTACGTTTCTGGGTTGCAAACTTCTGGCTGTTACTTGCAGTAACAGCACTCAGTTACTGAGCTCTTAGCAGAAGGAGATGCCAAGACTTCACTTTGGTCTGCAGAAATAGTGGTTGTATTCCAGCCAGCATCTAGTCTGCTGCCTTTTCTAATTTTTATTTTTTCTTCATTAACCTGAATTTCAAAGCTGTTGAAAGTAACTCTGTTATTATACAGCAGTGCTTGTTTAACCTACGTTGAGCACATTCCTCCAAGAAAAAGTCAAATATTAACTGCACCAACTGTGCCACAGGGCAGTCCAGCTGATCACAGCAGTTTGCAATCTCACTCATTTCCATACAGGTGGCCAGAGAAAAGGAGGAATACTTCCTTATTCCCGAGAAACAGTTAACTCTTTACGAGCGGCCTCAAAACTTTCTGCTAGGGGAAACAGCAGAGAAACACCACTGCTCAGTCTTATCCTGCATCCACTAACATGCAAATAAGGCAGGTACCCTTCAGTACAGACCTTAGCCTTCAATACTACGTATTTTAAGCAACCCAAATCTCGTTGTGTGGACAAAAAATGGAGAATAACCCACTAACATAAATGAGCAAAGATGCATCCAGCAAAAGCTCAAAAACCTGGCTGCATGCTTCACATAAGACGGGCAGGCAAAGACAAATAACTGGCCAAGATTTGACTGACAGCAGGAAAGACTTGGTTATGGGATTCTGGAAATCTGATACACTGCATGCAGAAAGAGACCATGAGCGTCAGTCCCCTACATGTCTAGTTTTATCGCTGAATTCTTCCCAAATCTAGTGCAGGGCTCCTGCCCTGTTAATACCTGTAGATGAGCAGCACCACCACACACTGCTCTGTGGGAGCACTCAGCATCTTGGAGCATTAAGGGAGCAACTGGCTCTTCACATGGCTGACCGAGTCAAAGCCTGGGTGTTGGGGCATCTAACACACTTCCCAGGTAATTACTTCAGTTTTCAGAAGCTGTACAGTGCCCATTTGCACATACTCAACTGACACCTGCTGCTGCTTTTATCTTAAATATCTGCTACTTCTGCTTCATTAATCCTTACCTGGATGTTAACAGATTCCTTCCTCCAAAAGAGTAGCAGGGAATAAGAAACAGGGAATACTTTAAAATTTGGGCCAGACCAAACGATTCCACCGTCACCTTCTCCAGTTTTCTCTGTCCATCTCTCTCACAAGAAACCCCCAAGAATTCAATTTTGCCGGCTGCTGTGCGTACCCACTGACGTGCATGTGCTTTGTTCTTCCCTCAGCAACAAGCATTTAATGACATCCTCACCAACAAAGCACCTGAGTTACTGAAAGATTTGGATGCTTTCCTGGGGGATAACAAATGGCTGGTGGGGAAATCTGTGAGTATTATTTTTATTTCTCCCTTGCCAACCAGACTGCCAGTAAAATGCAATTGTTGGCTATTGCTGAATTTCTGCATTTTTACACCATCCCATGGTATCTTGCAAAAAAATATGTATTTTTTCTTACTGATACACAACTGGTGGCTTAATTGCAAAGCCAGTTTTGCTCATACCTTCAGAAAAGGCAAAGTAGGACAGATTTGCATTTGCCAAATCAGTTTCCATGCTGACACAAAACTTTAAATGCATTTGTACTAGTTCATAGAGATATGAGTTTAGAATTCTGCTTAGAGTCACTGCTCAGTTTAATATATAAAAATAAGAAAAAAAATCAAGTCCTTCCTACAAATATTAACAACTTTTTATTTGTTAAGCTTTGCATTGTATCTAATTACTAGCTCTGTAGCCATAAACTTAAAGAAAAAAAGCTCAAGGCAGATCAATTCATGCTTCATTTTTGTAGTTTGCAGAGACTATTAGTAGTCCCAGCTTTTGAGATCACTGATTAAAACTAACTTTGTTCTCCCCCCTTTCCACCAGGTAACGTGGGCCGATTTCTATTGGGATGTATGCAGTACAACACTTCTGTCCTGCAAACCTGACCTGGCAGACAAGTACCCCAGGCTTTTGGCTCTCAGGGACAGAGTGCAAGCACTTCCTGCTATTGCAGCCTGGATCCAGAAGAGACCGAAGACAATAATGTAAATCAGTTGTCCAGTAGAAAAACAAATTCATATTTTGATTAAAACACTGCAAGCATCTTAAGTTATTAATTTTAGAATCATTTGAATTAATTTCACATGGCTATGCAAATCCAAATCAGATTCTATCACTTCTGTTTTTGAGAGGATGCATCTAAATAGCTGATTGAGTAGAGTAGAGCCTGAGGCAGAGGTGTAGCTCCAGCCACCTTTCCCTCACTGCTATTGAAGTGTTTCATCAATCCAATTAATGTCCGGTGGGTTCTCAAAGGGAAGAGAAATTAATCTTATTGGACAGAAGTAATCTCAACTATATATATATGTATTTTTTATTTTATTTTTTTTGACTTTCAGTACTGGAGGAAACCAGAATAAAGGAGAATAGAAATATTTGGGAGGGTTAAGGACACAGCCAATACAAAGAGGAACTACCCACTTTGTCAACAATCTTCACACTTCTCAAACAATTGTTGTTCCTGTTACACCATTACAAACAATGCAGCTGCCCAGCCGAGCTGCTGCCCACCCCAGTACTAGTTCTCCAGCTGCAAAAACATTCAATTGCTCAGTATCTCTTCTAGTAAAGGCAACAAACAATGGTGGCAAGGGTGAAAACAGGTGTAGAACAAAACAAATGAATAAACAGTTTGTTCTTCCAGCAATGGGATAAGCAGGTATGTGGAACTGCTAACAACAGGGTGGGTTGTAGATGCAAGCAGTTTACCCAAACTCAAGGGGAGACAAGTGCTTGCAAGAGGACTCCACTGTCTGTTTTAAGTAGATAAACCGCAACAGACTTGGGTAATCCTCTGGGATGCAAATGAACAATGCCGGGAAAGTGCTTCCCCTTACTTACCTCCCCCCTTTTCATGTAACTATAGAAGTGACATAAATCAAGAAGTTCAGAGATTAAACAGTTATTGGCAGAAATGAAAGCAAGGTCCAATCTTAAGCAGAGATGCGTATTTGCATCTACCTGCTTTTGCAATTCCTTGCATTTTGTTGTAGCTGTTCACAGATTTTTCCTTCTTCAGCTTCCACTCTCTTCTTCGGTGAAAGACTTCAGATTGCACTCTGGGTGGAGAGCTCTGTTTGGCACTATTTTTATAATCTATATTCTATCACAACTTTGATTCAAGTATAACAAATTATCTATTACATGTATATTATCTACTACTGGATAAAGCCACACCAGGTCAAATAGAGCATTCCAGTTCATTTTAAAGCTGCCTCTTGGATTACACGCAAGGAAACATAACATGCAAGTTTATCAAACCCCATCCCACAATAACCACAGAATGAAAATATTTTGTTAATCGATGGAGTTTTTATTTGAACAAGTTGGTACAAAACCAGTACAGTACATCAAGTGAACCAAAACAAGCAGAAACAGACTCGAGCATTGTCAAATAAGGCACATATAAAAAAATCTACACGCATAATCCAGTGAAACAGACAGTCATTTCATATATATATTTGGAGGTAGAAATAATTACAAAAATACTGACAAATCTTAAGCAGTAGCAGATCTGTTAAAACAATTACTACTTAGGTCCCCATTTAAAAAAATGTCCTGGAAAATAACATTTTTTCAGCATCTGATGTTGGCACGTTTGTGCTATTTCTGTTTTCAAGCATCAAAAGAATGCTGTTGCTGTTAAAAATTATCAATACCATGAGGAATACAATGAAGAAACTATAAAAAGTTATAAATTTACATTATTGGTGACCATGAACTTTATGAACGAGTTCTTGGGGTACAATGTTACCTTTCTTCCTTGAATTCCACAACATATTTACATTTTAGAGGCCTAACGAGGCTTTTAATAATGTGGCTATATCTGCTGGAATGGTCCCTTCTTCTCCTGAAGGATAAAAACATGCATTAGTGTTTAGTGTTCAGACAAAAGTCTGGAATACCAAAACTGTACAAAATCCTCACTTGTAAGCATCTAGCATTGACTTGCGTGTCAGATTCCAAGAGCACTTCCTGTCCAACTGCACAGCAAGTCAGCACAATACATCTTTCTAGTTTAACGTAAACCGAAATTGTCTTATCTGAATCACAGATCTTGTTTTTCAGAATAATATGTTTCAGTGATCTCCCTAACTCACTTAAGCGGACACCATTATGAGCAGGAGACTTACCCGAATCCGCTGCAGTCATATCTTGTTCTAACTTCAATTTCTGCTGGCTGATTTTGAGCATGGATTCTTCAATAGTCCCTTTACTGATCAGCTTTATGACTTTCACTTCTCTAAAAAGCATAAAATAGTATAAATACATTGTAGTAGTTTCTCTGGACTAGTGCAAATGGGAAAGACTCAGGCCTTTGCTCAGGTGGCAGTGGTTTAAAAACAAGGAGGTTAAAGGGCAATACTCGAACTTCTAGTTTTTCTTTTTGGACCAACTATGCTCTGTACTTCCAGAGAACTTCTTTCCTCTTACACTCAGCCACCAGAAGGGGCTACGTGGTCTCAAAAACCTGTGCTAATAGAAACAACTGAACTTCTCCTTGTCCCATACTACTGTCAAAGTATCTGTTACTGAACACATTCTATTGCCCACAACAACTTATTCCTTACTGAGGATTCTAAAGCAGATGATTGTATCACTTTTCAGGACAGTGTAGCATTTTAGAGATTTGTTATCTTTGGAAGACGACGAAGAGCTTTGCTAACCACTTCCAAAGACATCAGATCTGCATTCATATACACCGGTTTCTAGCGCCAGAAATTGAAGTTATAGAGAATTTGATAAAGGAATAGGATGCAGTTAAGGTTCGTTCTGTCTGCACCACTTAATTGTAAGATAATTACTGCTTAAGTACTCTAACTGTAAGACAATTACGCTCCCATGCAATCCAGAGCTGGTTTACATAAGTCTCTGCTTAAAATGGAATTTTAAAATCAAAATATTGTCCTGCTGTGAGAGCTTGCCTCCAAGAAAAACAAACATTATAATTAAGAAGTCTTACCTTTTCTGACCTACTCTATGGCATCGATCTTCTGCTTGCTTATCATTGTATGGGTTGCAATCAATGTCATGAAGAATAACAACATTTGCTGAAGTCAGATTGATTCCCAAGCCACCAGCTTTGGTTGACAGGAGGAACACAAATATTCCCATATCTGTATTGAACTGATCTATCAGATGTATCCTATAGAACAGAAGAACATTTGTATCGGGCCTTAGGAAAAAAACAACACTCTTACTCAAGTTAAAAGAGCAGAAGTTAAGTTGATGATCTCCTTAAAAACAGGCCAGTGGTATTGCAAAGCAACTCAGAAGTACAGATGTTAGACATAAAGGGTACCAGCTATCCTCAGGCATGACCACAGAAACATACTTTGAGAGTGACAGCCTGATAGCAAAGAATGAAGTGAAACTTGGACAAAAATGTTGGATTACCATCGCAGAACATGATAAGCAAGCTGGTGGAAGAAGGTGGGGAGGATTGAAGTATGCAAAACAAATAGATCTGTGGGGGACAGGACAGGAAAATAATTCAGGTTTGTGACTAACTGCACATGACAGAGCAAGAAAGACTGAGATTTTAGCTGCAAGTAGGTAATATCACAGAAAAAAAAAAAAGTTTTGTTTTGAAAAGAAAGCAAGAGCATCTCCAAAAAGTCACAGAACAGGAAAGAGTTGAAAACTATCACAGCTCGCATACAAGAAAACCACTGCAACATTTTCAGCTGTTTAACAGGAGAACAAAGGAAAGGACAAAGGAAACAGTTTGTCCTAAAGAATGAAAGGGGCTTACCTGTCTGCTTTAATAAACTATACTTCAAAGGAATCTCTAAAGGTGAGCTTTTGTTACATCATCCTGACACACACGCAAATCAAAACATCTTTTAGGGCTGAAGATGCAAGTTTTCCATTTGCATGTGCTACAATGGTAATCGGATCATCTAAACTCCCCTTTCAGCCTTACCCTAACACAATCCAAAATTTAACATTAAAGCCCTAACTAGAGTGAATTCCCAGCCACTGCAGAATTTTACATGTATACCTCAGAAAATCCAGGGTGTTATGTCACATCCTCCTACCACACATACATCCATTTCTTCACTCATCTTCAGTAAAAGAAAATAAAAGTGACATACCTATCAGAAATCTGTGTTTTTCCATCCAACCTAATATACTTATGTTGCCAATGTTTTAGGAGAACTTCCAAGATATCCAGCATCATGGTAAACTGGCTAAACAACACAACTCTGTCACCCTGGAAATGACAAAGCAAAATAAAAGCTTTTAAACACTTGAATTACAGATGATGAATTAGAAAAGATTTATCGTTTGTGTAAAAAAAAAAAAAGTGTTTACTTACTTTCATTAAAGAAATGTTAAATTTATGCCACTTTCCGTAAGATACAGACCAGTGGCACCCTATTGCATCAAATAGCACACACTTATGCAAATTCAGGATCCTCTGAAGTATTATGCTACATGCTTATTTGCAGAATTAGCCAGTTTGAATGTATGACTCACAGCAGTGACCTCTTTTGTTTACATTAAAACAACAACATATGCTGAGTCAGTGTAATACACTCTTATTCAATTGCCAGAAGAAAGTCAGACTCAAATCTCACGGATGTGGAAATACTATCCATCGATACAGCAGCTGTTGTGTTAACTCAGAATGAACACTTGGAATAATGGGAACTCTTATTTCGATTCTGTAACTTCATTGTTTATATAAATGCACAAGTAGGACTACATGTTACAAGTATTATGTACCATTCTGCAGTACTGCGCACTCATTAAGTCACTGTAATACTCCCCACAAAAGCAACTGGCCTGCATATACAGCTACTTGTAAGCAGATGGTAACAGTTCTTTAGAGATGGCCATTAGATGGACAGGAAAGGACATTTCAGCCATTGGTAGTACAAACCTTCTCTTTAAGTTCAGACAGAATACGTTCCAGTGCTCTAAACTTTCCAGAATCCAAGATCTGATCCATGTCTAACTTGAAGTCACTGACATTGGCGTATTGCTTACAAAGCAAATGTAGTTCAAAATCCGTCATTACTGTCATATCTTCGAAGATAAGGTCAGGATTTGCATCACAATGTGTGGGTTCCTATTAGCAAAAAAATGAAGGGAAATAATGCAATACACAACCTTGCTAAGCAGACTAGAAAATACAAACAAAATTACATCCAAAATTTCTGAAAGAACAAAAACAAAGTAGCACAACTAGACATGGACAAATGCTATAGCATGGCTCATGCAAGCAACAAAAGATGAAGTTTAGAACCCCAGGTTTATAGTAGAGGATTGTTACTTTGCAATTCAGCTTTTAAAATAGTTTGTACTACCAAAAACTAAGAAGTATATGCTCAACCTCCACAGTCATTACCTAGTTCCCATCAAGCCCTATGATCTTTCACCCCCGTATCAGATCTCTTCCCCTGAAGAGGCACTCCCTAAAAGGGAGATCCAATCCTTGGATAGATGGTAGAAGACATGGGAAGCCCAGCCCAAGATGTAGGGTGGGTAGAGGGATGTCATGCCTGGAAGAAAGAGGAAAAGAAAAGCCACATCTGGAGAGTACGATGGTATGAGCAGGAATAAAAAGGGGCCAAAAATCCTTCATAAACCAATAGGTGACTTCTCCCCTTCCCCCAATCCTGTCTGGCTTTATTTTTAAACAAGCTGGAGATACTCAAAGCCAGCTGCAACTTCCTTGAGTACCTGCTGCATGTCCAAATTCTCTTTTGTTTGTACTTTAGAAACAGCAACAATTTTCCCCAAACTCCACAGGCATTAACCCCAGCCATACGATGAAAAAAATGAATAGTTCAGTATTTATTTTACATTCCCGATTTTATTTCTGTATAGCCTAGATTTCTTGCTACTCAACAAATACCAATATACTCAAGCGTCCTCCCAAAACCTTTTTGTAAGTATTTTGGTTTTAAGTTTTGGGGTGGAGGGAAGAAGTATTAAGGGGGTGCTAATGAAGAGATGACTGCAGTCCCAGAACTGTTCTCTCCATTCTAACACCTGATATAAGAATCAGTGTTAAAACACATACAGAGCTTGATTAGAGCACTGGATAGACACAGAAATAAAGAAGCAGCAACAATGAATTAAGATTTGCAGACACACTTTTGACCAAAGGACTGACAAAGTCTATTTAAGCTGCACTAAATTAAAATTAAGAACTTGTGTTGAATCTCATCGCCTTACCTTGAGCATGAGTGTGGACATCGTTCTAAGCTTGTCAGTTGTGTAATACTGACGATGTAAGAGAGGATGATTAGCCATTTTTCGAAGTTGCATCATTACATTTCCCATATCAGAGTTTTTCTCTGTCAAAGAAATAAAAAATATTCAGAAGTAGCTCACAGGTATATAATGCATATTTATTTCTCAGAACATTATAAGGAATATTCTTTACATTTAATATTTCACCTATTAACTGGACTTAGGAAAAAAAAATTATAGAAGGAATATAGCCAGTATGAGTATTAGACATCTCTTGAAAGCAAAGATTTTTATAGTCACGTTTAACAGCAACGTAGGCATGGAAAAAGAAATCCAGCAAAGGCAAATGGGATACCATCACATACCGTTACTGTTAATAGTTTTCTTTAGCTTATTTAAGAGATCACAGTAGAGTTGCTCTTGTTTCTCAGACATAGCACATAATTCAATGAGATCTTTTTTGGGAGGTAGCTGTTTAAGGACCTGACAGGAAAAAAAAGTAGCAGGTAAAAACTGTACGGAATTACTGACTGCTATCTTACAAGCCTGCTTTTAAGCTATTGTACTCATTCTTCGCATCCACCCTTTCATTGGCTGCAACTTTACTAACCGAAACTGAGTCAACAGACTGATTTACAAATTGAGCACGTGTTTTGGGTTATACATCTCACACACACTACTCAAGTAACATGACCTGCACACCTCAAAAACCACACAAAATAACAAATGTAATACTTGGAAGCTACTCTGCTATTAATCACAGTAATTTATTTTTCAAACTGACAACTAAGTGTGTAAGAATCACAGTAAGATATAGATACACTTTTCAGATTATTAAAGTTTTCCAGTGTTTTACACATCCAATTATAAATAGAAGCAGATAGGTTTTGGATTTTAAAATGAAGACATCTCTCAGTTGACTGCTTAGCGCGGTAAATAATCTTTCAGTGATCTTTCTTAACTAAAATTCCCAGCTGCAAACAGTCAACAAATACTGAGCATCTAAATATCAAATTGCAGCAGCAGGTCACATTCTTAATTCCAAACTCCTGGAAGATGAAGAGTAGCTTAAGTTTCCTACTTTTCTTAGATAAACAGGTAAAACTAGCATTGACAAAATACAGCATTGAATTATGTTAGTCCCAAAAATCATCAGGCTTTTTGATGCTATGGAACAATTATTTTAAAAATAAAATTTACCTCATCTTTTACTCTTCTTAGGATGAATGGTTTTATTATCTGCTTCGCGTGTGCAATCCTCTCCTTTTCATATATGCTTTGTTCTTCAGCACTCTTCTAAAAAAATATTGCAAGAACTCAATTGCATTGTGAAATTTTCAGCTGGAACAATGCTATCTGTCAATTTTTTTAGATTTTAGGGAAACTGAGACAGATCTAATATGACCTAGCATTCTGAGACATCTTGTTATGACATATTTCTACTTGAAATGGTTTATTTCATTGTTTCACTTTCTTGATTTTGTAATCACGTTACCTGTTTCCATAAGGTATCAACAACACAGAAGTATGGCAAAAAAAATATTAACTTGGAGAAAAGAATATACAACACTTACTGTTTTTGAAGAGAACATCCTTCGGATTTCACTAGTGCTGCTACTGAACATATGTGGCATGACGAAATTCAAGAGAGACATCAATTCCAACAAGTTATTCTGAACCGGAGTTCCTGTTAGCAGTAAGCGATTCTTTGCCTATTCATCCAAAGTGAAAAATAGTAATAAGAAACATTAGTCAAATGGATTAAAAATAGTATTAGAAGAAGCAACACAGCTCATGGAGAACTGAGAAAGTGAACTTAAAATGTAACTATTTAAATTTAAAATATACTTAAATCTCATGGAACTATTTCCTGGTGAAGTCAACAAGATATTTTGGGGATCTGTGGGAAATTGACCTCAGATCAATTTAAGATTATTCAAGAAGCATAATCCAGATGTAAGAAAATCCCTGTGTTTTTTTTCATTGCCCACATATCATATCTTTAAGGAAACTGAATATTTTAAGAACAAGTTTTGAATTGCAAGTACATGTCACAATTTAAAGTCTTAGAAATCAGCTTCTTAAAAATGCGTTTAACAAAAATACTGAAAAATAAGTTGCAGTAATTCAAGTGGTAAGGATGTTATTATTGTACCAATACTACAGCGCTAAATCAGTCATTAGAAAAAGAGCTGTACTCAAATTTTCTCTTAAATGCTATTAACTTAGGGTGCAAGCTACAAGAAAAAATATTTTAAAGCTAGCTTTTCCTTTGTAGTCCTATCAGAATACATCCTTATATACTACAATATTTTTTTAATGAGTCATTTTTATTTTCAGAATAGCAATTTTATAATCTTTACTGTAGCTTAAACTGGAAAATTGCTTAACACTGAAACTGAACTACTACTCTAGTTGTAATGATGCTCTAAGATATTAGCTACATTTTTTTGGAAACTCGTTTCCATTGAAAGAGCTTATAATGCAGGATCTACTCCTGGAATTTCAACACCACATGCACATTACCAAGTTCTGGACCACGATGTATCTATCACTTTTAAAATCAGTATTTCTTTTGTTTCCCCACTACCCATAATGACAGAACACTAAAAAGAGTAATAACCCCCTCAACAAACAACTAAGTCCCTTACATTAATTGTCATAAGGTGCTGGTAGCGTACAGAGCTCATGTTCTTGAGCATATGACCTTCATCAAAAATTGCATAGTTAAGCTTCAGCCTGCGAAACAGTCCTCGATCGTCTGAGCTGCTAATTGCACAGTTATACCTGTCAGAAGAATTCATCATAAAAACGCACATTAAATGCAAATTTAACATGAACATTCTGCTACCACAACTAAATTATGTTCTATGTACATGTATAAATATATATATTATATATAATATATATTATATGTATTATATATAATATATAATATATTATATATATTATATATAATATAATTTAGTATATAGAATATATAAATTATAATTTTAATTGTAATAGTTTCAGAAAGAAACATAAGGGGCCTTAAACTACAGCTGCCTAGAAGTAATCAGCCATATGAGTTGATCAGTCAATGCTTTTTCCAACACTTTCCAAGTCACAAGACACACAAAACTTTTACAAAAACACAGTACCTGCTACAGCATTAATAAACATCTTTTTATCATTACTTGAGGAGAAAATGAAATTTCTTTTCCCATCTCACCAAATTTTAAACACTGCTTTTTAATTACTTGTTCTCTGAATTTCACATGCAAAGCAAAGATAGGTCAACATGCTTTACATACCCCTCATTACGTGACATTGAAAAGAATAACCCTGATTGCCTTTGACTCTTTCCAAACACCACACAGAAAGATTGAGGAAAACCTCATGGTCTTTTAGTAAAATATAACTGGCAGATAACTAATTTTGTTATACCACTAGAGGTCAGTAGATGCTAACTTTTTTTTTTTTAAACCACTGTACTTACGTAGTTACAATGACATTGAAATCTACAACTTTATTATTAATGTCTGCCCGGAGATGTTTCCGGTCTTCCTGGGATCCTATAGAAGGACAAAACACAACATGAGTACAACTACAGTTTAATTTTAAAGCATATAAAAATTAAGATGGTATAAAGGAATACTATCAGTATTAAATATCTGTATTTAAACAGTTACTTAAAAATAATGCTTCTATGAACAACTCATGTCCGCTGAGGCTGTACATGGAACCATCTGTATCATTGGATTAATTTCTAAACTGCACTCCTCACCATAGTAAAAAAGGACATTCAGTTCAGGACACCACAGATGAACTTCTCTTATCCAGTTATCTGTAAGACATCATTTAAAAAAAGACAAGGTTATTTATACTCACATCTTACATAATTCCAAATGCACCTCAGCATTAAAACAGAAGCCTGATCTTAATGCAAATCCCTTATACTTCTTAACATTTGAGAGAATTTACTTTCTGAACACTGGAGAAATGGTAGCATTTAGGGAAATTAAGCAATCAACAATTGACAAAGCAGGAACCATTAGAGTCTTCCTTCAAGAGGCTTCAGAATTTTTATACAGCAATTCGAAACTAACATAAATAAACCTTTCTTATGCGACTCTTCCTACTGCTTAACTAGATTACACTCCAAACTCCTACTGAAATCAAACATGCATGGTTTACAGCCACCACCTTACCAGGTCTAAAATAATACAAGTATCTACTGCATTTCACTACTTCTTAGCCTGATTTCTCCCCCAGACATTATTTCCTCAAGAAGCAATCATTTCATTTATTGACCGTTTTCATTTAGAAGTGTTTCATCAGGAAATACGATGCCTCTGGGAATTGAGAAAGCTTCCTAACTATGCAGTTCCAGGTGTGCAGCCATCAAAGCAGCCACTGATAACGTTATCAGGCCAAAGGGAAAAGTGCTTTACAGTGCACTGTGCGTGAGGGTTAGTCTCAAACAATCACAAACCACTGAGGAAGGGGATTTCAGGTAAATGCCACTTGGACCCAAGCTGGAGATGAAAAGACCCCTCAATGGAAAAGTATCAGAGAAACTATAGGCAGACCGCTTCCCAGGCTTTACCTGCTTGACAGCATCAAATAATAATGGCTTGCCCAAGCTGCCACTACAGTTTATAAGGCCTCTACAGCTCACTTCACAAAAGCACTCATTTACAACACCTTGGATTTTGAAAACCTGGGTTCTAGTAGGTTTAAAAGCATACCAGTAATGCCAATTTCGAAGTGATGTTGAACAACTTTTCTGATGCGTGTAAAAAAATGCATTGGCTTCAGAAATTAAGAGCAGTATTTTCTTCCTAAGTTAAAATTGCTGCTTTTTTTTCCTAGTCATTCAATAAACTCAATTTAACTCCAAAGAACTAACTTTTCCTAAAACTCATCAGCTTTGTTGATGTATTTTTTTCCACTCTATTCTTTGTACTTTCAACTGATGTCATTAAACAACCTAAACACAATTAAAACACACTATTAGCTTAATTGTTTTAGGATTTTGATCTGCCTTTAAAGATTCTATGCAAAGAGGAAAAAAGCATTGAATATTTTGAATGCAATGAAGCCTAACCCTAAGCACCACCTGAAGACTAGAAATTTCAGCCAATATTCAGTAAAAGATTTAGCTAAACAAGATCAAATTGTAACATGCAGCTTTGTTTGTTTTGTGAAGCAGACAGACTTAACATGGATTTATTTAATATGCTCTAATTAATTCAGTACAAGCATGCCTCTACTACAGATTACATTCCATTTCAGATGATTTATGGAGCTGAATATCACACCACAAGGAAACTGTTTTCCTTCATGAAAGTGTTATCTTCACTTGACAGCCCATCCAGTTACTTCCCCAGTCTCTTTCTTAAAAAAAATAAAATAATAATAATAAAAAGAATAATTTTGAGGCTTACAACTTACCTAATGTTGAAGCTGGCACGACTATCAAGTGGGGACCTCTATTGCCCTCTTGGTAGAGATAAGCCAGAAATGCAATAGCTTGAATTGTTTTTCCTAAGCCCTAGGAGGAAAAAAACATAAAAAATCAATTTAAACAAAATTTATAGTCTCTAGAACATAATAGTGTTTCATACTCCTCAAATGATTACACTGTAGTCAGTGTTAACTAAAGACTACAGATCTGCAAAGAAAAAATATTAATCAGCATTATTTTCGGAAGACATTTCCTTCTCAAGTACAGCTCCAGTCAAACTCAATTATCTTTTCAGCTCAACATCTGAGCATCAGGTATTAACCTGCATCACAGATGAAGTTTTTCATTTTAGTTCATCCCTCAAATCTTCAAGAAACTGTGGTTCAGACAACAGCTCATTTGGAAACTAACCAGTTTCCTTCCATCTGAACCAATCATGCAAATGACAGTTCAGCTATTTCTGAAAGTGGAATTTAATAGGGAAATTATATTTGCAATACGCTTACATTTCTACCTGTGCTCACTTTCCTGTCTTTTGCACCATGGATTTGAAATTTTATCTTCTCTACCAGAAAATAAGAATGAATTGGTGCTTACAGGTATGAGAAATACAGAAATTGCGAAACGCTGCTTATGGCTTAGTGAAGCAAATCAATCTATGCACTCAGTTTATCACAACACGAAAGACAGCCAGGATTAAAATCAGTTGACACTCAAAACCTCGAACAAAACTCTCTAATTTTGCAACTCACGAGGGGCATATTGACAATATATGGTCAAAATGCTGGAGAAGCAGGAAAGGCTTGTGCTGTTTCTGTCACCCTCTCCCCATATATTTAACTATTTTGAAAGTGATGTAGAAATGCAGAAGATAGGGGCTCACTACAGCTAAGCGCTGGACAAGCAGAGTGAATGGTATTTATTTGCACAGAGCTATGAAAATGAATGGTTCAAGGATGATCTTGTGGTACAACTGGTTCCTTTCCATCAGATGACATCATATGACCTGTAATTATCACTGTCCATGAATCTCAGGTTACCTTTTACTTTCAAATTGAGAGCTCAGCAACTACTTGTGTTGAAAAAAAAAGTGTAGGAAACATTTGGAGAAACTGTGATTCGTATTAGCTAAAAATAAATGACAAATTCTTTCATTTTTTCCAAGTCCTAAGCAGATTATAACAAAGTCACTTACAATGCTTCTAACAGTCCTTAAATAACCAGTTTCACACTTACCATTTCATCAGCCAAAATACCAGTTCAATCCATGTTTATGAAGAAGTGCTAACCAGTTCAAACCAATCTTCTGATATGGCTTCAGTTCCAAACTGTTTAAAAAAATAATAATTCAGGTTTACCATGTTACCATCTTTTGTTTGTTTTGCCATGAAACAGTTTTATACTTATGTTCAATAGAGTATGGCAAATTTAATGCTGCCTGTATTTTACTCCAATCCAGAAAAAAACACAAACTATTTAATTCACCACCTGAACACCAAAGAGCATCTCTGAACTAAGAAGTGTATCTGAATTCTCATGTGTTAAACAATCAAAATGAACACTACAATAAAATCCTTTCTTTTAAATTAGTGATGGACAACCAGTTAAAAAGCGTTACACAGCCAGTAATTTTTAAAACACAAAGCAATAGTTATTACTGCCAGTGTTGACACCAAAAAGAAAACACGCACAATCCACAAAACACTCCACCAAATCGCCTACTGTAGCATTTTTTGCCAAAAGAGACCAAAACAAAACAAACCACCACTGATAAGCTCCCTTCACACAATTCCCCTTCTCTCTCTGCTTCTATTTTCACACACTAGAAAAATTATTTTGCTACTTACCACTAAACCTTACAAAGCCTAATTAAGGTTCTACTCTGGCCACTTCAACTCCACACTTACTAACCTTTTCCAAAATTTGTCCCATCCTATTCCTCTGCCTGTCACCTATTTCCAATCCTCCTCAACTCTCTATTACCAATTTATCTGCCTGGAAGAAACCCTTTCCTTCAGGGCATCCCCCTGCATCCCTCCCACTGTATATAGAGTTCCAGATCATTTTGCATATCTACTTTCTGACTGAGGTCCCCAGTGCAGCTGACAACCTTTACAAGTTTGCCCAGATTGTGTGTCATTTGACATCTGACACACAAGATTTTCTGTTAGTGAAGCAATTTTGTTTGTTCATTTGTCTGGAAGACAGGGACAACTTGTAATCTCATCTCTTAAAATTTTACATTCATAAAAAATTGGAGCTATTACACTGTTATATATTTTATGTTCATAATCCTTATCTTTTTTCCTGATGCACTTGAAAACATTTGTTGCATTCCCTCAAGCATTGCACATGCATCCCTGGCTAGATCCCTGAGAGCTCCTGAGCAAACACAACTCTGCTTTTAGAGGGGACATTTTTGAAAATCCTGAGGTTCAAGCACAGCTTACTATCCAACACCCTTTCAAATATTTAACAAATAACAACACCTCTTATTCAGAATGGAAGGCTGCTCTATGTTCCATCCACATCCTCCATCTTCAGTAATTTTAGTTACTTGTTTTGTTAGTTTATTTGAAATGTCTTCACATTTATTCATGAGCTTGAGAACCACATCCCTCTCCTTCAGCAGGGTCTTGCAATTCCACACGATGTCTTCTGACAAGCCACTAGTCTTAGTCATTTTTGTGAACTGCAAAACAAAAGAATAAAATACTGTGAACGCTGGTAACAGACAGGGAAGTAGCAGATCAAACACTGGTTTACAACTCCCAGCACTGTGCCTATCATCTTTCAGTTCACAAAGCTTTACAAGATTGTGCTGCCAGCACTGGAGGATTCATGTTTTGCTCCTTACACTTTCAGCAAGTTTTCCCCTAATCTTTCTTAAAACAGCAAGAGACAAAGCACTTCAGCACTTCCTTGTTCTACTGGTATGCCCTGAAAAATGAAGTGATTCGTGTAGCTGCTGCTCTTCCCTCTATCCACCTGCAGCATACCAAGGATTAATACAGAACAGCTCTGGCTATCTTTGCTAGATATTAAAAATACAAGGTATGAGCATAACGTAAGGATCAAAGCAAACCAAGATATGAGGAAGGCTATTAAGAAACTGATGCTGGCCTAGAAGGGGTTGGCAATAGACCTGTTAAAAAACAAAAATAAACAAAAAACACGCACGAACAAAGAACCACAAACAGAGAAACAAACCCAACCAACCAAAAAAAAAAAACCACAAACCCAGAAAACTGACAGTGGGGAGATAGTAGTAGATTTTTTAGTATGGAAAAAAAACACATTTCATTATGCATCCAGAATTGAGCATTATTAAATCCCAGATCTAACTGTACCTCAAATATAACATTCACATCAGTCGTGGGCAGAGTGGAAAAAACAAACAAAAAAAAAACAACACTTCAGGGCTAAGAAATTCCACAAAACTATTTATTTATTTTAAGTCACCAAGTGCTAGCATGTTCAGAAGACCAACCAAGACTAGATTCATCTCTTTCAGTTCTTCACTTTTTTTGTGTGTACTTGTTTTAGGACAGAGTTAGCTTCTTCACAGCAGCTTGTATGGTTGTGCATTTGGGATTTGTGACCGAAACAGTGTTGATAACCCACCAATGTTTTAGTTTTTGCTAAGCTGTGTTTAGAGAGGGTCAAGGCCTTTTCAGCTTCTCATACTGACACACCAGAAAGGAGGGTGAGGATGGGCAAGAAGCTGGGAAGGGACACAGCCAGGACACTGAACAAAGCAGTATCCCACACCATACACCTGACACCCTGCTCAGCCACAAAAGCTGAGGTGGAAAGGAGGAGGGGGCAACATTTGCAGTTACGACTCTCATCTTCCCAAGTATCTGTTACACGCAATGGAGCCCTGCCTTCCTAGAAACTGTTGAACATCTGCCTGCCACTGGGAAGTAGCAAATCAATTCCTTGGTTTGCTTTGCTTGTGTGTGTTGCTTTTGCTTTCTGTAGTTAATTGTCTCTATCCTCCCAAGAGTTTTCTCACTTTTGCCCTTCCAATTCTCTCTCTCTCCCTGCTGGGGGGGAGTGTGTGTGCATGTGGGGTCAGAGCTGCTTTCTGTGTTTCAGCTGCCTGCCAGGGTCACACCACGACAGCATTAAGGTACTTTATCAAACTCAGATTCATTTAAACTTTTTTTTTTTTCCTTGCAATGAATACTACCTTCTTTGTAATCTTGCATAAAACAACCTGGTCATTAGCACTTACAGGTAGTTTTCAATGATAGCACCACCATTTTGACAAAATTTTAGCAAGATTCAGCATGCTTTCTTTAGCACAGGTATGTTTGAAGTCAGTATTATCTTTTTTTTTTTTTGAACCTTATTTGCCCTTCTGCAAAACAAATACATTGTCTAAATGCCACAGCAAACAAGCTCGCAGATGAGTCAAAATACTGGAATCTTTGATTGAAATACCAATTAATACAAGGTTTGTCCCTAACTCCTGAGCACGCCTGGTTTACAAAGTTGAAGCACACCACTGCTTGAAAACAGAAACACGCAGTTGATCCATGAGGACATTTTGCTTTCCTTAAATAAAAGGTAGGTATTTTCTCCTGTCTTGGCTGAGAACAGACCGTTAAGTGGTCTAACATGCTCTGCCACCATCCTCAACTACTCAAAAGAGTCTCCAAGAAACACGTAGATATAGAATACATTAGCGGTGGACTTGTCACTTCTAGACTGAAGGTTGGAGTAGACGATCTTAGAGGTCTTCTCCAACCTGAATCATTCTATGAAAACGTATTTTTCTCCCCCCTATGACTCCTTATCACAGTCCTTCATCAACAAATTTTAAGAATTGAAGAATACAAGTATCTTTGGAGTTGCCATTCTTTTATTGAAACTGAAGTACAGGTTTGCCCTGTGTGTGAAACCACACCTGACTGAAATTCAGAAAAATCTGCATCTGTTACAATTTAGCACAAGGCTTAACAGGAATATATCCTCCTATTATTCCTTTCTTAAAAGGAAGATGATAACATAGAACAATTATTATGCATTAAGCGATCGATATGGCAGAGTAAAAGCCAGTTTCTGTAAAATGACCAATACAGGTAGGTCGTGGTTTGACTTCAGAAAACTACAGCGAGCAATGCCCTCTACTGACAGTCCTCAGTTACAGTGTTCAGTCTTATTTCGTTTGTGGTTTTGTCTATTAAAAAAAAGTTACCAACAGTCATAGGTTAAACCAGGCTAAAGGCACATGTCAATGCTTGTGCAAAAGTTTTCTAAGTAGACATCTCTTAATAAACAGTTGCAAAGAACATGATTTTTAATAGGCGATTAAAAAATTTCAACATTTGTTTTGATGCCTAAAGCCTTGGTTGGCACGAATCTAAATCCTGTAATCTATAAATGAAGGCATGGAGAATGAAGCCATCTGTTATTTAAAAAGTTCTATTATTTCACATCAGAATGTTAACATTCATTTCCAAGTTACAACAAGAAAAAATTTAGCCACTGGTTTGCACATGGAAATACAGCATTATGCTGTCACGTACAACATGAGTAGAGCTGCGGAGAGCCTTTGGGTGACGAGGGGCTCGCACCCCCTGCCTTCCAAAGGGGTCCAAAACTTTGAGGCCATCACGGGCACGTGAACATGGAAGCTTCCACAGCACACCTGAGCAAACACCCGTAGTGATCCCGCGTGACAGCAGTGCCCAAGGGTGAACGACCACCGACCACACTGGCAGCCTGCTCAGTTTTAGTCTGGAACATGCAAAGGCAATTCAGGATTTCACTTCACTGCTTAAGGATAAAAGACAGCCTCAATCTTGATCAAAAAAGCCCAGCTTCACTTTGAGCAGCAGCCATTTCTAACCCAATGTTATCTGCTGCGTCCACTCTGTTTCTTCTAGTGCAAGACTTCTGGATTGGTTTTTGCTAGTTTCATTTTTGTGGGAGTTTGTACACATACATCCAAACAGAACAACAAATGACAGCAGATTTGAAGCTCCCCTCATTGGGGATATTTCTCTCTTACCTCATATACTACAGCAGCAAACAGAATATGACAGACAAGTCTACGTTTTAGGGGGTGGTGATGACTCAAATGAAGTGACAAACTAAAATGTGCTATGCCAAAATTTCCACATAATATTTAGTGTCATTGGTATAACTTGCATGTATTCCTTAAGAATTTTGAGTTCTTTTAAAATTACTGTCATCACTTGAGGTCTTTCATTACCAAAAGAGATGGTTTGCTTTGCGACAGAAACTGTAGACTGCAGATGAGAGCAATTAGAGACAACGCTAAAGAGGAAATTTAAGCAGTTACTTATAAAACCTTAAAAATAAGAAACTAAAATTGTATTAAGCTCCCTCCAGTATGCATGTCCACATTTACAAGAATCAACGTGAAATTGTATCACACAAACAGAACAGGGCAAGAAACAACAAACCCAGAAGGCTCAGATAGGCTCTTTCTGGCCTTTTTAGCCAGTCTTTGGTCTCTCTCTTGTTTCACACACACCCTGAACACCTACAGGTATTTTGGTTATGTGATCATGGTTTATAACCTGGTTTCTGAGGATGACATTTCCAACATGAGCCAATTTGAACAGTTTGGAAAAAGAGTGTAGTTATAGGAATAATTCATCACCGAGTTTTTTAGAGTAAGAAGGAAAGGCATCAGGTATCAAACAGACGTGTCCTCAATACTCCTCCCTCCCTTTTCTCCTAGTCCCCACAACCCCTCTTTCTGCTGGCAGCCCTTTAGCTTGTCTACCCCATGTCACCCACCTGCTCTCCCGGTGCTACAATCCCTAATGACCCATCCCAGAAGATGCCCCTCAACTGCTCCTCAAGACCACCAATTTCAGCATCACACCCTCTTTTATCTTAGCTCCAACCTTTGTCTGGTTCTACAACAGCAGACCATGCTCTTAGATACCCCCCAGTCAGAAAGCAACACTTTCTGAGCTTTGACTCAGAAATACACTTTTTAGGAAAACAAGCATCCCAATATATGGTAACCTCCTATTCTCGTTAGGCACACAGAGTATTCCAAGGGAGGTCACAAGTACTCGCCCAGAAAACCATTGATGCTACAAATGAAGAAACAGATAGCTAAAGCCTCCAAGAAATATCCAAGCACCGCTCATGCAAGATGGTATTTGATAGGAAACTAGCTGGGAGTGTTATCTCTAACATGGAAAATGGCATAAAACTATGCTCTTTGAAGTTACAGTGGATCTACAGCATGAGCACTTAGAAGTTGCCAAAGCAATTCATTCTTTTGAGTAAAGACATTTTCAGCTCTCTTCATTTAAGAACCTTGTTTAATCACTTTTTTCCTGTGCATTACAAGCATCACTAGATCAAGTTAAACATCTGCCCTAAGTATTTTTACAGCAGATATTTAAATAATTCCAAGTATTCTCAGTAATTTCTTAAGTTTGAAATTTGTTTAAATCCATCCAAAAAAAAAAAAAAGTCTTAAGGCAACTTAAAAGGTTTGTCTGGAAAAAGATTAGCATTTTAATTTAAGTTTCCTGGAATAAGTCATCCAATTTCTGAACAGGCTTTCCTATTAATGCCATTAATCTTCACCTCAGGCAGAGAGCCTTAAGATCTTCCTCTGTTCTCCTAAATAACAGTAACATCGAGTGCTTTACAAAGGTTTTACCAAAATAACTTACAGTATCTTTACAGTAGGTATTATTACAGTAAAAATATACCTTAAAATTAAGTCAATTTATTCAGTGCTAAAACAACCAACTCTCTACATTTTTCTACCACTCTATTAATTGGTAGGGAAAAATGCTGGGTCACTAAGCTACTGGATCTTTATAAACAATTAAATCACTCTGATATTAAACATCTGCTAAAGTTTCCTGCAAATTACTTCTACTCTGGGCAAGTATTCACAACACTAGACAAACATGTGGTTGCTGACAGCAGCAATCTTTATGAAAGAAATATTTGGAACATGAACAGGCCCATACAGTTTTTCTGTTAAATATTTTACACAGAGAAAAGGATAAGAGCCCTGTAGCAAATATTTCTGCAGAGAATTAAGCTCAGGCAGAACCCAACAAGTTTAGAAAGGAACTGCCGTGTGACAGATGTTCTCTAAGAAGCCAAAGGCTTGAGGCAAAACGGATTTTTTTTTTGCAGCATATCTGTACCTCGTTTTTTTTCTTTTTTCAAGGATCTCTCTCTTATCTCCCCCATTTGCAAGACAACTCTTACAAAGATCATTCTGTTTTCTTGAAAGTTTTTTTTTTAGTAACTTTTGCTATTTTGTGGTAAAACAAACAATAACATTTATTATTTGTTTTTATGCATATTGAAGAAACCATATTCTTCTCTAAAGAAATATAAACAGATCTTGTATATATTAGTGGGGTGGTTTCAGAACACAGACTGGTTGAAAAAAAAAAAAACAAACACGTACCAATTACTCCTTAAGAAGGCCTACACAGTTATTGACTTAAAATTCAAAGCACTAATAATTAAACCAAGACAGTCTGCCGTAACGCACTTCAAATTTCTTATTAGAACACTGCCCGTATTAGGTCTGACGTCCTGCAGTTAACTGAAATGCATGAAAGGTGAAGGCAACAAACAAACCATGGGAAACATTTGAAAGTAACATCCCAGTGACAGCAGATAATCTACTTACCAAGAGCTATTGCTTTCTCTTCTGTTGTGGATTGTGGTTTAGCCTTCTGATGCTTTACCTTTTGTTAATAAAAACACAGCAGCTTGCTCCATTAAAAAAATGGCTGCGCTGCTTAGCTAGCAAAACCATGCTAGAGACAAAGCTGAAGCAGGTTAAAAAAAAAAGAACAAAACACAGACAATGACTGTTCCTTGTCTAAAAATGAAAATATCCATGCTGGCATCTTCATCATGGAGCTACCCTTGAAGCTGCTGCTGCTGCTGTTAGAGTAGCTGCAGTAAAAGTTCTGCCACATTCTCGTCTTCTGCATGGGTTTTCAGCTAAAACAGCTCAGAACAGGCTAGCAAACACCTCCTTCCTAAATGAAAGCTCTAATTTCTTCTTCTGCAGTGAAATCAACCAAGTTTCTACGCTAAAATGTGAGTGACAGTAATGTCAGCCAATCAGCTTGAGTTTTTCAGCAAAATCACCCCTTAATTCATTCAAAATTAGGTCATATGACACTGTTTGAAATGCTATTGGCTTACAATGAATGTAGTATTTTAGCCTAATCAGGCTAAGGCCACCCATCTATGCCTCTCTAGACCGAAGACACCTTGACTCTAGGCACGCTGGGGATATTAAAACAAGAATGCAGACTTACCAGAGCTTCCCAACTATTAAAGGGCCGGAGCGCTATTATCTTCTGAACCTTTTTCTGAGAACACTGGGGAATCAGCGTGAGTTCACTGGGGGAAGCATCCTGCAGGAAGCTAAGGATTTTAGCTTTGTAACCATCCTCCATCACTTCGTCACCACTGCTGTAGTCCTGGTCAAGGGAGCTACCACCTTCTTCGGAACCTGACTCGTCCTCCGAGTCTTCCATCTCTCTTTTAGTGCTCCAAACATTTTTGCTTTTTTTCCTGAAGCCGTTCTGCTCCCTCCCAGAAGATTTCCGCTTCAACTTCTGTTTATTCTCATCACTTCTGCTGCTTGCAGAGACTTTGGTCCAGTCCGAAACTTCACTTTTGGAAGGAAATTCCACGCCTACAGGTGTGGTGTAGAGAAGGCAACAAGTCAACACATACTGGTTAAGGGCAAATTAAAACCTACTGCTCTTCCAAAATGAAGTCACGTATGTAATATTGAAATTGTGTTTTATATCAACACAGCGCCTCAACAGCAGGTGTTACCAAGAAGGGAAAAAAGCGCAGCAAATGCCATTCAAGTCTGTTTAAAACACGTAAATAGTATTAACTAGGAGTAGGTGAACAACACTAATTTGTATATTGCTCAAATAGCACAGCATTTTGAGCAACTATCCTAGAACACAGATGAGCAACACAATGTTGTACGTGTGAGCTGCAGAAGCTTTGAGGTAAGAGCAACCTCGTATAGCTTAAGAGTTGTGATAATACTACTGGGATGAGATACCAGTCCCACTCTATCCAACTGCCAAAAATGAATTCTGTTGATTCCAGTAAACAAACCAACTTTCACCCTCCACCCCTCCAAATTATACATTCTTCTGTTTTACGGCATCTCAGTGAAGCATTAAATGCAGGGAAAAAACAAAACAAAACAAAAAAACAAACATGCACCTGTTAAAGAAACTGGAAGAACTAGGTATTTCATACCACAAAAACACTACTGCCTTGAAGTAAGATGGGGATTATTTAACAGCATGTGGGCAACTCATTTTCAGGAAGGATTTTTCACCCCCTAGCATCTCACTTGCAATGCTTTTTCTTCTGCCCAACTCCAGCTCGCTAGTGAGCGACTCCACTCCCAGGATCTATTGTTTCTTCTTCTGGTTATCGAGAAGGTAAGGAACCAACCTTAGGCATACGGATAATTGGATTCCTTTCAAGTAGAGAGAACTAAGAATAGTATCCTATCCCCAAGAGCACTGAAAACAGCTGATATAGCAAAACAGACACATTTCTGACAGCTGTGTAACACTCTGAAAAGTCATCAACTCATTAAACAGTATTTAAGTTCTAATGCGCAGATTTACCTGGGGTCACAGTTTTTGAGTTCTTGTTCCCTACCACAACAAATGTAGTGATATTTACATGTTGGTTGCATAGTTTAATGCCTGGTTTTAGTATTTTTCTATACTAAAAAGTATTTCAAAAATATAAATAATCTTATGTTACATGTCACCTATACAGATGTTGGCAGTTACTGAATTACAAATTACTCAAGTTATAAAAAAACAAGTTATTTTTAAGGAAGTGGAAGGGGAACAAGTGTGAGCTTCGACACATTTCAGAATATACTTTATGATATACTTATAAGTAATTACAACTCCTTATGTAAATCTATATTAGCAAGACACAAATAATTATCTCTTATAAATAATGATAAATTTTGATACTGAAAAGTAGAGGAAAAATCCAGTTTTGTTCTTTTACCTCCATCTTCCCTTCCTCAATACTATTTTCAAGTATCAGTTAAAGCTTCTGGATGTAGCGCTGTCAGGACTGTCATTACTGGACATTAGAAAAGATTTATACTATAAGCCTGTTTGTTTTGTCTAGGGATAAAATGGATTATAAATCTGTCTTTACCTTCACCGTCTTCTGCAAATACTCTCAGAGCTTCCTGTGCTTCATGAAACACCCAGTTATGTTCCTGAAGTACATCTCTCAGCTCCTAGTAAGCGATGAGAAATTTTGTTTTGTAGTTAAGATAAGCAGAAACTAGAATTCTCTATATATTAACACTGAGATATGAACACTTAATTTTAATCCCATAAGGCAAACACTCTTCCGCTATCCCCTTAAGTCAGAGGATTCAAAAGAAGTGAAATCAGAAGTAGAAAAACCTTCAGTTCATCTTTAGCACAGACCTGCAGTCCACTTTTCAAAAGGGTGGGAACACATAAACAAGCTTTGCTTCCAACAAATTAAAAGTACAGTATTAAAAGGCCCTGATCAGTTGCTGAGTATCTGCAGGTACTAAACTACTGCAACACACACATTGCCTTATCTTCTGTGGGGGGTGAGGGCCAGAGGGAGGGGGATTTCCCCCATACATTTTATAAGAGGCCAGGCTTGCCATCAGGACCAAAACAGCAGGACAGGAAGTTCTGTATAGTCATTGACTAATTCCAGCTGCTCTCAGTCAAGGGCAAATTGCATTCCAAGGGCAGGAGCAGTGAAGGCCTTCCTACCCTTGAAACCTTCTGAGAGCACTGCTGGTATAAGAACCGCTTCATTTGGACTACTGACAGCTACCATTTTCTCAAGTCAAAGTCTGATTTGTTATCAGGAGACATGAACTCACCTCCTTATCCAATCCGGGGAATGTATTTTGCAGCTTCTTTACAAGCATCTCTCGCTTCTCCCATTGTCTTTGAGATTCTGACCCATCCAGCTATGTTTAAAAAAAAAAAGAATCCGTTTTAGACTTAATGAAATTTACAGAGAAATCAAACCCAATTAATACCACTTACCTTAAAGAGTCACTCCAAACAACAAAAGCACTTAAGACAAATCCAAGTTGCAGAAGTGATTCCTCATACACAATCAATACCCAAAATACAGCTAAAACTTTCAAGAGTGTAGAAAGTCTTCAGTCATGAAAGACTGGCATTCTTTATTTGATTAGCATATACAGTGCAAAGTTACATACCAAAGCATAAATAATTTAAAATTATCTAGTTCTTATTTTTTTTAAATAAAAACTATAGTTAGTAGTGATTCTGCATATTTCAGGCAGTAGGGTTAACATTCAGGAGGTTAAGGAGATTAACAAGTGTGTAGTATTTAACTCGCCAGAGCCAATAAACATGTCAATTGGCGTGTTTATATGAAGATTTATATGTTTCAAAAAGAAACAAAAACACAACAGAACCAATACTGTGTCAAAGCACCATAAAGTCACATCAAAACTTGGCAAAAAGTTTTCGTCAACATGAGCTCCACTAACAGCTACTCTAAGTTGGGAAAGAGGGAGGTTTCTTATGAACGAGTGCCAAAACTTCTACCTGCCACAAGCTGTTTTGTTACATACTCAAAAAAAATAAATAAAAATAAGCAAGTTCCTTCCCAGGAACTGAATGCAAAGTGGTTACATGTCTACTTATCTACAGCAAAGATAGCAACATACGTATTTACTTAGCTAAATGAAACAAACTAAGTCACCCAGAAGTACTTCCACGTAACAGAGGACATGGTTCCTTCCCTCAGCATCATTAGGAAAAGAGCTACGGTAAATACAAGAGCCAGTAAAGGGATGTGGTGTGCTCTAGCTTTTGGAGCCAGTTACCCCGGAGAGAAAATTTCTCAGCATGAGCTAAAAAACCTGCAAGCATTCCCATTACTAATCTCTAGTACAAATTTTAAAAATCCTCATTTCAGATGATATTTTTCCCCACTCCTCAGTCTTTTAACTGTAACAGAACTGTTCAGCATAGAAATCGAACTACTGCCTAAAACCAGGTCCAGTGAAGGTTGTTTGCTACACCAGCTGGGTAATAGTTCAGTATCTGTGCACAAAGGTCAAAGTAATCATTGCATTTAACATATCTGATTCATTGCTTTCCAAGATTTCCCTATGTCATAGTTCTTTTCCAACCTAAATGATTCTATGATTCTATCACTACTACAGCAAAGGATAAGAGTAACAAAAGATGTTGAACTTTATGTATTTGAGGAAAAATAAGGAATGACCTGATGAGGCAAGTTGCCTCACAGCTGATAACTCCCGTTAACATTCACAGCAGCTGAACTGTACCCAGTTCCTCACATATTGCTGCTACCTGTCATCAATTTCTACCCTGAGAGCAGTAACTAGGCTAATTAGGACACAAATCTATAAATATTGAAGAGCAAAACAGGTAGCTTCACTTAGCATTGCCAGAAAGAATAAAGCAGAAAAACTCAGAGGGCAAGATTTGAATTTGATGGGATTTTCTGATAAAAAACACGAAGTTCATGCCACTACTGTCACTGATCAAGTCAGACACTTCCACTTATTTCATAGCACTTAGACAGAAAACCCAATACTTACATGATTAGCTTTTGGCTTTTTTGCAGATTGCTCATCACTGTTGTCACGGTTTGTGGGAGAATCTTCTAATTTCCTTTTGCGAAAGGTAGCTTTAAAAAGGAAGCAGAAAAGAACTGGAAATTACTTTCATTAAGTGTACCTCAATATAGTAGGATGATTCAAACCAGAGCTATAGGAACTACTTGTTAACTGCACAAGATGTTGAATGGTCTTCTGTAGTAGTTTCTTACTACAGTCCACAGGTGCACAGTAACTCCAAGCACAGCCGCTGCTTGAAAATACATTTCTTTACCTTATTTACCTCCTCAAGTTTTATTTAGTACTCTGGCAACTAAGCAATTATGTCTCATAGGAAACAGCTTTATTTTTTTAAACTGCCCCATATTTTTACGTATGAGTAAAGTTGTATCTTTTAACAGTAGTAGTTTTCCAAAAGAAAGATTTCATTTAAGCTAAGTGCTTTTGGAAATTTGGTGCCTAACCAAGGCTAAAACCAAGCTGTGAGTTATGAAACGCACTCCACTGCCAATCTGGAAGTGCTGGTGATTGATTTCTGGCTCAGGTGCCCACTAGAGGTTACTATCAAACAGTTTTCAACATTAAATCAAAACGCTTCTAAGAGAACTATGTGTATCAAGCCAGAGATAACCAAATATCAGTGATACCTGAATTATTTATGAACAGTTTACATGAGCCAGAATTTTGAGTATCTTTGGGCCCAGGTGATAAACAGAGATTACCATCTGAGCATTAAGACCTGCCCAGTCAGGTGCATTTTTCACTGCTACGATGCACACCTCATGTTGCTTGAAGCAGCAACTCTTACTAGATGTTACTCTTACTCTTTTTACCGTAGCTCAAATTATTTAAAGTTTCCCAATCTTTCTGGAAGCCTGCTGGCAGAGCTTTCACGTCTGTCACAAGCATCTGCAGCCAACCTCTCATCCCAGACTGCCAAAGGACAGTCAGCAAACAAGCGGTGCTCAGCTGATCACACACAAAAAACATGCTTGCTTTCAAATCCAAAGGACCATATGGACAACCAAAATAGCTTTAATTGTGAAGAATTAAGCGTTCACATCTTTGCACAGAAACACATTTTTGTATGAAAATACTTCCAAATACATTTTCCACTAGACTAATTCACTCTGGTATCAAAAATGGAAGTGGCATATAGATAAAAAAAAATAAAAAATAACACTTCCCAAAGGCAGAGATAAGCACCAGCAATAACTAGCTCTTCATTCAAGTCCCAGATATCTACCAGAAAAGACTGGTAAGATTTTTCGGAGCATATTCATTTTTACATACCAATATAAAACACACAGAAGCAGTGCACCTCAAAGAATGATTGATTGTTGGTCTTTGGAAGAAAACCAAAGAAATAAATAAAACTGGTCAAGAGCAATTTGAGTGACAATTAAGCTGCAGTGGAGAATCTGGATAACCATGATCTCAGGAACCTACCAATATAAAATTACTTATAAATCAGTCTGTGATCATCTGAAACTAAACGCATCTACAACTGAAAAACAACTTCCTAAAGGCATTCACTTTGCAAGGTATACCTGATTTTTGCTTCCTGGGCCAAGGCAACACTGCTGAGAGAATGAAGAAGCTGTATGATTGCTAGTTAGGATTCATCCTTGGAGTGTAGGCAGGGTACATGGAACCCTCCAGAGAAAACCTTAATCCGTATTTTCTTTTTAATCAACAAGCACTGAGAAAAGCAACTCAAGGGTTTCAAATTTTAGAGGCACTTGTAATTATTTCCACTGTTATCTGTTGTTACCACTACAAAAAGCAGAACACCTTATGACAGTGACTTTCTTACGCTATTATGAAAGAGACAGTCATTTCTGTCTGTTCAAAAAGCAGTAACATCAGAGAACTTCACTTGAGGTGTTAGCTCAGAAGAACCCACACTGATTTCATAGTTTTCAAGATGTATAAAAAGCAACAACGGAAGCGAATCACAAGAAGCAGGTATTGCTATAACTTCACATCTTTCATTCGTGCACACTTTTTTCCCCGTGTGTCACATCTGATCTTTGTACCTGTAAGTTATCTGCAATGATTCTTATTTGAGTTATACAAACAACAATTCAAACTATACAAATACAAGTTTTGTCACTATTAAGTAAAGGACCAAACTGAGAATGCTTTGTCAGGCCACTTTTTTTTTTTTAAGCCAAATTATGCTTCATAATATTGTATCTTGTCCCTCACTTCTCACCCAGTCAACACCTCATAACAAGTAAAGTATGTCAAAAATTGACATGGAGAAGCAGATGTTCAATGATGTTTCCACTTTTTAAAAAAATGTGTCCAAAAATGAGATGATTTATACCATCAGGCATGCTCATTCTTAACTAAATATTTTATATAACAGATATGATTGAAGAGAATTCTGCTGCCAAGATTCTTCTGTGGGCTTCTATCGAAAGCATATGAAACAGCACCCTTAGATCAACACAAAAATGGCCAAAAGGCAGAGTCTAAATACCAGAAATCAGCATTTTAGTTCAGACATTGAATTGCACCAAAATTTAGAGATGTCTATTAGCGTGAAGTGATTTAATATTAATCAAAACCCTTGAAAAGTAATCATCATCTTCCAGGAAGGGTTTTTCCAGGAGCAGCACTCAGACATAGCATGTCCCTTGAGAATGTGTTGGCTTCTCCCCACCTATCTATAGAATCATGCACACGGCAATAACCTCAAAATACTCGACAGTCAGAAAGCATGGTCTGGTTAGATTAAAAGATTAAAAATCCTGTTTTAAAGTGGTTTTTTTTGTTTGTTTTTGTTTTTTTAAGACATAATATTCATAATGACCTTTCAGTCTTCTCCCACCACAAACACATGACAAATCCATCAAAAAGATTAAGAGAATATAGAGGTTTAAACCCTGAACTTAGGTGATGTCAAGAGCAAAACCCAAAGCCTGAGATTGCTGACCTTTTTTACATGCTTATCACATTCTGCACATTCCCACATCTTGGGATTCTTTGGTAACATCACGTAACATCATGAGACTGCAGGAATTCAGATGCAGAAAAAGAGAACCTTAAGCTCTGGGGACTCAAAGCATGGTTTGGTGGATGTTTTGCTACAGAACCACAAGGAATTATCTGCATTAGTGATTAAGCCTACCAGTTCTTACTAGGAATTACAAGTCTGTAAGTCAACCTGAAGAGAAAATCATGACAGGGCTTGACACAAGAAAGTTCTAGTTAGAAATGGCTACAATTCTTTTTTATCACCAGGTTTCTCACCCACAACATTTAGTACTACTATCTTTAACCTATTGCTATTTACCTCAACTTCCAAGCAACACAGGAACCATTAACAACAAAAGTCGCTTACTTAAAAGACCCCACATATAAAGCCACCCTGAACTACACAGAATATATTTCCCTTTATTTTTTCTATTTCTCAATTTTGGTAGGCATCCTCTTCTCATCTTTCCCCTTGCAAAGTCTGCAGCTTCAAACATACCTTCATCACTGAACTTCAAACCAGCAGCTATCGCTTCATCCATTGTGCACGTCGATTCTATCAACTGAAAAAACAAAAACAAAAAAAACAGGCTAAGTGGCGAGATTTAATCCAGATAAAAAGAGGACGACGATAAATAAGCAGGATTTGAAATACACTTTGGAAAAAAAAAAAAAAACAAAACCCTAACACCCAAAAGTCGTTTATTGTAAATTCCAAATCCAAAACCAAAATTGACAGGTACTAAATCATCATCTAGACTGATTACAATCACATCAGCTGTGATTTGGCAACACTTGGTATTAAAGCTGTTTTCAAGCACATTTTTAAATTTAATTTATTTTGCTTTCTTTTCCCCCTCCTATTTCACAAACATATTATGAAGTTTACTTAAACTTTTTTTTAAATCTCCAAAAACGTTTAATGTTACTATCACAAAGCCAGATGACCCAAAAACCTAACATCCTAACTCATGGATTTTTTTTTCATATACTGCTATGTCACACTGGTTGATTTCCTGGAATCAAATTTAAACCATGCCTCCAACAGATTATCTTTCTTGCAACCTTAGATTCTTTTCTCCATCTACCTGCAATCTCAGCATAGATCATTCTTACAAATTAACTGAATATTGAGACTTATAAAATAAGTACTGCTTTTTCCAAGCATGGTAACTTCAACAGAAGCGAAGAGCCTAAAGGTTACAAACAAAACACCACACATAAAATGAGGAGATCTGATTCCCAAGCATCTGTTCACATTTCTAAACACTGCCTTACAATTTTACTATAAATATATTTTCCTTTTGAAAGGAGCATAGGAGTATTGCTTACTTTTTTTTTTCTGAACAACACTCACTGGTCATGTAGAGTTTATCAGGACAAGCTGTTCCAGATCCTTTGTGAAGGCACAATACATTTGCCTATTATTCCCTCATCTTCCCTCAAGAATGTTCTGGATACGTAACCATAGAAAAAATGCTTGCACAGCCCTTACATACTACAAAATTCTGTTGATACAGGAGCTCTCACGCTCTCCTGAGAACAGAAACCATCAGCACTATGTACCACTAAGCATTTACAAACACCACTGAAGTCACTCCTCATTGAACCCACAACAGCAAACACACACACTATACAAGCAGCATTTTTAGTTAGTTTCTAGGCTACTATGAACCATTCTCTCTTTGGTTTAAGTACATTCTGTGTGGTAATTGAAACTTCGTATGCTCTGGGCATTTACAGCATAATTTATACTATAACCTCCAGGAGAAATATAAAATAAAATAAAAGATTGCTATTTGCAACCCCATAATCACCCAGCAAAGAACACCAGTTGAATTTCTGCATTTCTTTAAGGACACTTTGGCAACTAGGAAAGTTAATAGATTAAATGCATTTATCTTTGAAAACTAAAGCTACTGAAAAACTAGTTACAAATCAGCACTAAGAGGTAAACTTAATGAAGATATATTTTACTGTAATAAGTTACCATAATGTTACAGTACATTTGTGCTGTGCATTGGAGAATGGCCAAGAGTATCTTAGGTTTATACAGAGACATAATTTTAAGAAATTGGAGTAATTTCAAGCCTACTCTTTTTGCCTCACTGGAAGTAGTACGGGCTTTAAGCATTAAATCTGATGAAAGCAAAGGAGAAGTGTTTCATACAGTGTAGCTAACAACAACGATTTCACTCATTTTGCATTAACCAGTTAACTGCACTCCAGCAGCAGCTATCACTAGTTATGAACCAAGGTAGCTCTAAGTAAGGTTAAAAGTTAGGACAGCACAAAGTAATAGAAAAATGTACTATACCCTAGAATTCACTGTTTAAGAGTCTTGATTCTTTTATATATATATATATATCTATACACACACAGTTTAAAAAACAAAACAAAACAAAACACAAACTTGCATGATTGTACTTCCCCTGCAAGAAGTAATACTTTGATATCACCTTCTGCTAGGAAGACTTGGGGCTCTTCCCTCTTGTAATGCCAAAAGCATAAGAATACAAGAATACTGCCTACAAAATAGTCATCAAAATAAATTAAGAGAATACAGCATTATTACTTCTAATAAATCCTGGTCACTTCTCTGGGGGAAGAGTTCCTTCATTGTTTCCAGCTTTGCGCTTTTGATGTCTTCCTCCACACCATTCTTCATGTCTGGCAGCTTTTCTCTACCATTGACATAAGCCAACTGGGTCAGGTCATCCTCAGGCTGCTCATCATCCTTAGACTGTTCAGAGCTATGACATATGAGGGACAGATAAAGAATTCAGTTTGATTTTTGCTTCCTACATTTTACTCCGCAAGATCATCATTGTAAACCCAAATCAACAGGACTTCATGAATAGAAATGTACATGGTTAAATGTTAGCTTTTTAAAAGAAACTAGTATTTTTTAAATAAGTTGCTGCATATTATTTAAGCACATGAAACATATATTACAGAAAGAAAAATACAGTAGTAAAACTGTCGCCCTCCACCTTTCGCATGAGACACTGTTTGAAAAAAAACTTCATGTATTACAGAAGTAAGGAACAGTCGAAATCCAGTTTCCTTCCTTAGAAGACATATTTACATGTATTCAGTAAAACTGAACCAAGTTGTACCCAAAGTACTGTCTCCTACTCTGGGAAAAATAAAGCATTTATGGTTTAGTATACATTTCTGCTTACAGTAAACACATTTCAACTTGGCAAAGGGAAGAAAGAACAGACAGAAAATACTATGACTTACCTTTGTACTGGGGTATAAGAGCTTACTTACACCTCAATTTAACAAAATTGGATCAATTTCACAAAAACATCAATACATTTCATTATTTCAGTCTGACGTAATTCAGTTATCTATCTCAGTTTGTTTCAAATGGTCTAGTGTTTATCTGCCCAACAGACACAGATCTAAGTTCTTTATAAAAAAAAAAAAGAAAGAAAACTTTTCAGGTGCAGCATCAGTTCCCTGTCCTAATTCTCAGCTCAAAGAAATAAAATGTGAAGATCCTTAAGTAGTATCTTAAACATCTTAGAATGTGAGTAGAACCTCTTTCAAAAAAAGTGGAGTCCTGAATTGACTGGAAGATCTATTATTACAGGTTGCTTTTTCCGCAGGAAAGTTCTATGTATTTTTGATGATACTCAGTTGCAGAGACAAGATGGAATGTAGGCAGAGGTCTCCTATCCTACTGCCCTCCATTGATGCATAAAATCTCCTTTCCTCGACTAAAAGTAAACATTATGGAGTTTGCCGTTTCACCATTATCAGAAAGACTTACCTCCTATTTTTTGTGCACATATGTACGTAAAAGACTAAAAATACACTATTTTTCTGGCTATAACTTTCTTTATCAGTTGAAATAGGTAATTTGCATTACAGTTTTAGAACTGACACAAAATACATGCACTATTTTGAGACAACTTTTCCTTGAGTAATCCTTTCCTCCCTATCCTGTTTAAAAGGCACACAAACACCTGGGCCCTCTGGTTGTACTACCACCAAAACACTAATATAGTAAAATAAATAAATAAATAAATAAATCCTTAAAACAAAGAATAATCCAAATTCCTCTTCAAACCACCAACCAATCTAGTCATAGGTCAATCCAGCATCCCCTTAAAAAGTCGTAACAAAACGGTATGTTAAAATTTATTAGCTTATTTCAAACCTGCCTTGTTAAGGAAAAAATCTTTATAAATTGTATATAAAGAGGACGTCAACTGAAACTGATGTAGTAACACTGCAATTACCTTATCCTTTCCTATCAGGGATTAACATCTCAATACTTGTCAACAAAGCCAGAGTTGCATACATCATGTCTTCTCTGCAATCATGTTCCTAGCAAGCATGAAGAAACACTCGTGTAACCACTCGTGTATGACTCTGACCCACAAAGTCTATTGTGTTAGGTGTCTGTTTTTCCAACAAAGCCTAGATAGCAACTCACCTAGGGAAGCTTACTTCACTTAAGCCTAGGAAAGCTGTACTTTCTGCTCTAGAACATCTTTTATCCAGGATAACAGAGGCTGGGATACCCAGATATAAAGGAAGAAATTCACAAAATCCCCAACCTCTAGATAAAACATGTACCAAGAAGCGCAGTATAAAGACACCTGGTCAGCTGATTCTGTGCAGAGCCAAGCTCAATTCAGCACACGCCAGAACTAATAAGCCTGGCCAGACCCAAGCTAACTCCTGCCACACTCCTCATTCCAGTCTGAGCTCCCACAGAATGCCGCTTGTGAGGGAGTTTAGTGGATTCGGTGTACATCAATTAGCACCTGGGCCAATGAGCCATGACAAAGAGTTGAGCAGGGGGGTGCCTAGTGCAGCAGAGACCAGTGGCTACAGAGGAATAACGAAGAGTACAAGAGGATATGGCTCAGTAGACACAGATGAATCCTACTGGGAGCTGCTTTGGTATCTGTCTGTCTCTCCCCCAGTAATCAGATTACAGTGGGGAAATAGCAACCTGTGGCTCTGCAAGTTGGATCCTGCATGGCTTCTCAGCTTCTGCTCCGTACTGCACAAAACTGATTGTACTGCTTCCAAATCTGGTTGATCCCAGAAGCAGCACAACTCTGTTTACATAGCACTGCACACAAGCAAATACGGTGCATGCAAACACCGTGCTGCCCCTGTATCCTTACACAATCTACAACTTAAACCATATGCTCATAGATAGATAATGAGCTCCCTCTACTAACCACTGAAGATCTTTTTTTTTTTTTTCCTTACCTAGTATCTGCTTTAGGTTGAGACTTAAGGAAAATGCATAAAAAAACCCCAACAATTTCATATAAAAGCAGAAGGGAAAAGCACTTTTCCATGTCTGCTGACAAGCTCCAGTAACTCCATGTTCTGCATAGGGACTGAAAATTGGGCCAAAGAGCCATTGCATTCCCCTTTAAAGTTAACAAATTTTATTTCAAGCATATTATCAACATATGCAGGTGAAACCATCCTTTTTTGCTTGGCAGAAATACAGTTAAGGGGCACAGACAACCAGCACATTCTGGTCACACAGATGTATACCTAGCAGATAATAAATAGGATGGGTTTCTTCAAACCATTCCAGCTGGTCGTGTAAGATATGTGCACACAGCTTGTCTCTCCTGCACTCTCAATGCTACTTTTTTAGCACCCACAGAAGTGACATGGGCACACTATTCTCTTCCCTCCTAACTCATCAAAAAATATGTTTTTAAACCACTAACAAAATTTTCACTACGTATAATAAAACACATCACGCACCTAATACATAATAATTTAGCTCAAAAAAATCTTACACTACACACAGAAGCAGTGCTTGCCTTCTTGTCCCTCTATATTTTCATTAAAAAAAAAAAAAAAACAACAAAAAAAAAGGGCTTAGACAAACTCCAATATGTTTTAAAACTTAAAGCTAATATTTTAAAGTTAAGCTTTGAAGTGCCATGAAAATAATTTCAGAGGGACAAATATGCGAACTTAATATGAACACCACAGATGTCATCCAATATCATGGAATTCCTCCCTCTTAAGCCATGTTCTCAAAGATGACACTTCAGAGCTCTATTTTTTTTTTCCCCTGAAAACCAAGTAGAGTTTAGTTATGGGTGGATAAATTGCAAGATGTAAAATCAGAACCTAGTATCTGATTTTTAATCCAGCATTACAATTTAAAACATCACATCAGCTTGTATAAACATTACATAAAACCAGGTTAAAGCTTACATTACAGTCACATCTTTCCTTGAAACCCTTTTTAACTTTGCAGCATGGAAATTTCTTGGTTCTTCATCTTCACTGTCTGAAGACGCATCTAGGAATTGTATTCCTCTTCGACGCTTGAAATAAGACAGCTTCGTTGTTCTCTCATCCTCAGGAGTTTCTGGGACACTGGAGTACCCTGTACAAGCCATTTCAATAGGAGAAAAGATGAGAGAAAATGACTTAGGACTTCAAACTTCAAATATTTATTTATACTTATAGCATCAGACAGCTATGACTTCATCATACAAAGCAACCACTTAAACAGAACTCACATCCCTATGCACGGAAAATTCCTGTAAGCTGTAACTTACCTGGCAAAATCACCTCAGTGATCTTATTTCACACAAACACAAACCTGTATAGTATAAACCACAAAGTTTAAGAGCACTAGTAATTATTTAAATGCATGTTTATCTTGGGAGAAATAAACAAATCAGCAGAGTCCTCTGAGCTACTTCCAGGCTAATCAGGACATGGACAGACACACAGCAGTGTATCTGATGGCTGATTTATAATCTGCTTGTCACAGCCTTTCAGGAAGGGTGCATCACTGTTACACAGCAGGAGATTAGAAAGCTACTCTGAGGGTCTTAACAGGTACAGATGCAAATCCTATAGATACGATCTACATCCCCATTCTTTTCTACATTGTGCTCTAGACAATTCTTATGTAGGAAACTTAAAACACAGGAGGACACTTGGTGTATTTTCAAGGTAAACAGAATCCGTCTCCACACGCACATACTCTAATTGCATCTCACAAACCATGTCTTACTTGCCATGAAACTTGTAGAACTGAGCCACTGTGCCTGCATTAATTCATACTGAATCTTCACTTCTGAACATACTCAGAAGAAAACCATGAACATAAGCAGCCAACCCATTCGTGCAATTCCTGAACTAGTAACGAATACAGCATGGTAAAATCCCTGTCAACTACACCTGAGGCCAGTTCCATGCATGTATCTAGATGGGGAAAACATGACCACACAGGGAAATGACACAGCATGTGATATACAAAACGGGTCTTGAAACTAAAGCTGAGAGAGGATCAGAACACTGTAAACCAAAACAAAAAGCCTGCGCTTTTTTAGACTTTGCTCTGTCGCCCTCTTTCAGCACTGTACCAAAGGCACAGTGTGCTCTAGCCTCACATACTGCGTATTTCAAAGCAGTTATTGTGGTTATAACTGTAAAATTCAGATGCTCCCATGTGAACTTGGGCAAGTTAAAACATATGGTTCAATCCAGCACCTACCAAGGCTGGAGCTGTTCTGCCACCTTTTAAAAAAAAAAAACAAAAACAAAACACTAGGAAAAGACAAATTTGTAGTTGACTCGTGTGGACCTGAACACATAGCCCCTATCTTTTCATCTTTAAACGTGCACTACACATAACTAACTATTTGGTAACAACTGACAACTCGTAAGTGTGCCGTTTCGTGTCAGCAATTGAAGAAAAGCATTCAAGGCATTTTGCAGAAGCAATGAGCCCAGAATCTCAGCCTGACCCGATGCACTACTCCCACACACTATCTGTACTTCATTCCTTTCCACTACTTCACTATTTTTATAGCCAGTGATGAAAAGAGCTACTAAACAACGCACGGTTACTATGCCAAGTGATGCTGTTTAAGACCAGACAAATTATGAGCCCTGGAGGCACATGACTGAACAGAGGAGGAAGAATGCACGGAGTGGAGAATGTGACAGCTTCAGAGAGCATCTGCTGTACAAAAGTAATCTTGTAGAAAATAAATTTAAAATAACCCACTGTGGCAGCATTCGATAGAAACACAGGAGCACAACGATAAGCAATTAGCTGACACTAAACTGCTAGTCGATACAGGCTTTGAAAGGCCAAAGGTACCCAATAAACTAAAAAATACGGTACTCAGTGTTATGTAGTGCACGGCTGAAAGGGGAAAAAAGAACTTGAAAATGGAGATTATTAACAGCAATTAAATAAATAAGAGTGATCTTAACTCAAACTTCTTTACCATCCATAAATAATTCAAATAAAGTAATTGTTACAGTCAATCTTCAGATGATCTTAGCTACGCATAGGTAAGATCTTACAGAATATAAGTAACACACATCTGACCATATGTTAGTCCACCAGGATGAAATACAGGAGTAGGAAGAAGGAAAAGCACATCATAGATCAGTTTCGATTCTCAGCTAAAAACCTCTGTGATCTGACACCCCCATATTTCAGACTGACCACGTGTAACAGGAAAGGTTTTGTCTTTCTCTCAGGCCCACAAAGGAACTGCTTCCCAAGTGACAGGCAAGTTTGCTTCCTACCTGCTGCTGTTACCCAGCCTACGTTCATTGCAGAACCACAGGCATTACTCAGAGATGAGCACTGATGAAGCAGGACTAAAAATGTAACGCCCAGCTTGTTGAACACACCAAGGCAAGATTTCATGCTTGCCACCATTCAATGGTCAGGTAGCTTTCGTTTTCAGTAACCGCTACAGCTGGAAACCTTGAGATTGACTTCCCTAAGGAATAGCAGACACCATAATGAGTCTGAGAGGGGCCAGCTGAGAGCATTATCACCCTTCTTACTGACAACAGCTCCCATACGCAAAACTAGAGCTCTCACTTATCTCCAGCTGAATAAAATTGCATCCTAAACACAAAACCTGGTGGCCCACATCAGTGCCCTCATGTTGCCCTCACCTGGAGCTGCCTCGTGCACATGCAGGGGGTGACTTGGAGCCTCTGGTCCTTGCCTGACTCCCCAGAGCACCTCACCTCCTTGCTGGTCCAGCCTGGTACCAGCTGGCAGTCATTGACACAGTGCGACAGCCACTGGAAAAGCTGGGACAGGCTGTGCTGTTTATGCTCCCCTACCTGCCTCTGTGCTCCCTCAGGGGTGTAGAGATGAGGTGTTTTTACTCAATGTACAGCAAAACAAACTCCATCTCTGCAGCTGGTACTGAACAACTGCTGTTAACAGCTTCCGATTTACGTTGTAAGAGGACAAAACTCCAAAAACTGACAGAGTATAGCTGTATTTTCCTATAAATGACAGACAAAAATATACATCGAATTGGGAGGCAGATGGGTGAAGAAACTCTCCAGGCTCATTTCCTACTCCAAAGGAACTCAGACTAAGAAAGACTCTGAAAGCTACAATAAATTCATCTGATAATCAAATGCAGAAGTGAGCTACATGTTGTCTAAGTCCTTTATGAAAAAAGTCCTTTTTCTATCAATGTCAAGTGTGGCACAAAATTACAGCAATGATTTTTAGCGGGGTCAAGTGCCTCACTTAGCAAAGCAATGGTGTTATCTTGAGAAGCCCACGCTGCAGCTTACTGTTTGTTCCAAAACGGGACGGGCCCTCCTGCAGTCAAGACCAACACCCTAGCAGCAGAGTTCTTCAGCTGCACTTTTTCCTACCTGTCCACATTTGGAAGGAGACATGCTGTCTCTTACAGTGCTGTTTTCATTATGTAAAACCTATATGTATGTAGATATCTTAAGAAGAAGGCAGGAGAAGAGACATTAGGGTAAGTATCAAACACTTCCATTGAATTTAAATATAAAGATGTGGGCAAACTTGTTCCAGCAACCTCTCCCTAGCTGGTTTAAAAAGCAGTTCTAGTTTAGCAGACTAAAACACAACATTTGTCAACGTTATAAAGATGGGCTAGCCAAGCGAGGGTTATTGCAATAGCACAGAACTGTGAGGAGTAAAACTGAAGTAACATAACATCTCGACACCATCTCTACTGAATTAACACCAACAATCAAGTCAGCTTCCATGATCTTTGCCTTGGCAGTTAGACTGTATTCCAAACACACTCTTCCTGCTATAGCAGGTCATGCAGGCAGGCACCCATTACAGCTTTGCTAATCACCTGTATTGGATATAAAGAGAAACCAACAAGCTTACAAAAACAACACAGCCTTCTAAATGATTTTGTTCTTTAGAATAGGCCTTGGAAGAAGTTTAGATTTAAATGAAAAGTGTATTTACTTCTCCACTTGGTGCCTTCTCATTTTATTTTTACTTTAAATAGCAGTCACTGTTCCTGACAGCTCCTAACTCCTGTACCTATGAAATGCTGAGTTACTAGGAAAAAGCATTCTCCCTCTCAAAAAAAAAGCACTATTTCCTTCCTCTGTTTCCCCCGCCTATTCCATTGAACACAATCCCTTGAGAGGACGGATGGGGGGGAAAAAAGTAAGTCACATATGCAAGAAGAGGAGTCCTTCCTGCGTATTTAGAGCAAATCATAACCTTGTACAGTAGTATTAGTTTAAATAAAAAAAAAGAAAAGAAAAAAAACAACAACTAATTTTTGCTCTCATAAAAAGAGACCCCATGAGAATAACTGGATCCAACTGTGCACAAGTATATGGTGACAGTTTTAAGCCGAAGGTATTCAAATGAAAAGTATTTTATAATTAGAGGTATTTTATAATTTCATTATAAAATGAAAGGTATTTTATCATTACAAAGGTATTAAAATGAAACTCTAACATCAGAGCAAATGCTGTGTTTAGCATGGTCAGTAAACACGCAGCTACTCTACTGAGCTTCACTTTATAACCTGACTTTTTTTGTTTTTAAACAACATACTTTCTACAGTCTTTAAGAAGACACATACCTAGTGTGGAGACACGTTACGTAGCCCTATAATTCTAATTGCAACCTACAATACAAACCACACGTCATGATCAAAGCAGCCTGGCCCTTTCTTTCCTGAATAAAAATAAAATTGAAGTAATACTTTGAAGCTAACTTTGTTTACTACCACTGCAAAACAAAGTAACAGAAGGTAATTTCTACCCAGTTTCAGAAAGCAGTATCAAATGCACATTGCTATAGTCTACAAATTCACCAATATTCCTATTTCAAATGAAGTCTTCTTTATTTGCTACAATAATCCTAAATATCAATCCATAATAGACTAAGATGCTTCATAAAGATACCATTTAAAAATGTTTAGTTCAACCTATCTTCCCAGGAATGTTCAGAAGAGGAACTGAAGTCATTACTTTTTTCCAGAAATGATTAAGTTGAATGATATCCTATGAACTGTGGCATAAGCAAAATACATGGCTTCCTCTGGTCATAAAAAAAAAAAAGAAAAAAAAAAGGGACAACAGATAAGAATACAAAAAGCATGTAGCCCCAGTGCAAGTGAATGACGTGACACTGGACGCTGATACCTGACAGTTCAATCATTTGGGTTAGATACTTGAACTGCACAGAAAAGACATCAACAAAAAATAATTAGCCACCAGGAGCAGCAATGGTTTGATTTCATATACAACTTTTATTTCCATCTACTGTTCACAGTTTGCAAGCATGATTTTTAAATAAAAAAGCTAAACTGAATACAAAAAACATGAATTTTGAATCTTGAAATTTTGCATTTTGAAATTTTGAATACAAAAATCATGCTTGCAAATCTTATTTTGAAATTCCTGATTATAATTCTTTTAATTCATACACTTCCACCACAGCTCTGCTCCATTTCTACAGCTGGAATCATCTCATTATATTCATACACCAGGTTACTTACAATTAAAATGACAGTTTCGCCACATAATAATAAAACTTAATGTGTGAATTATTTACTAAGTAACGCTGATCCCTACAGAAAATTGCAATGCACTACCCTGATGCATTTCCACAGCTTTTTAGGATGGTATCTTTCAGATATGACCTGGTAACTATCCCTCAGTAGCTGATGGTCCTACCCTTCAGTGAAGTGATGTTCACAATTAATCATCTCTAGCTCAGCTGCAAAGTCACTGCAAGCCTGCATCACTTGCAAAATATGTAAGCGTATAAAGACAATCCATTGTTATGGCCATCATACTGCAAAATACTTATCAAATACTTATAGAAGCGTAAGGTACATACGTTCAACACAAAGCAACAGGAAGCATTACATACCTAGGGTGCTGAATGACCCAGCCGTACTAGCTTGTTCTGGGAAGAATAAGAAAATACCTGAAAAGATAGTGGCATTTCATGGCACAAGACACGATCTAACTTTTCTTCCTAAAAAGAATGGAATTACTATTTTTGTCTCTCTTTGTTCAAAGCACATTTTAGAACATTCAACAAATTGGAAATCCAAAGAAATCCCTAGGAAAGGAAGCTGAACCATTCACCTCTAAAGAAAAGTGTCTGATTTTAAAATTTTTTACATACACAATATGACTGCGTGATACCAACTTAAGTGGGACAAAAAAAGTCACCCGTTATTTAATCAATTGTTTTGGTTTGTACACGTGAACTAAGGAACACCCTCCCCTTTATAATGCTGATGATGCTCTATGCATCAGTATTTTTCAAATCCACTGTGTTTGTCTTCTGAAGAAATACAGGTAAATGTTGTCCTCACATGATTTACTGAGCACTTCCAGAAGGTTATTTTTAGATAACTCGATGTAAACTGCTTCTTGTACTAAACTGCTCAATATTTTTGCTTATGCAGTTAGCAGTAGAGAGCACACTGTGCCCTAAGCAGGCCACCTCTGCTCCTTTTGCATGATAATACAAAAGGACAACAACTGCCTATTTTATTTGACCCAAAGGAAGAAAAATTCTGTCTTCCTGATGATGATTAGGAAGCGAAGAGGACATGCAACTGCTAAACCGATCTCGTTTATTCTTCCACATTTAGGTATCTCATATCCTACAGACAAAATCTGAGTTGTTTATTTCCACTTAACTCCTACAGGCTTAGAAAATATTACATAGTTTTTAAAATAGTTGATTAATTCATTTAAATGGGTTACATGAAAACGACATGACTTTTTTCACATATTCATGCAAACCCTCTCCAAATCCTTTAAACGCTCAATGCTTGTGAAAAATGAAGCACTACGTAAATGCTAAGTATTGGTGATTACATCTCCACTTTAAGCATTAACTGGAACCCTTGTTCTACACCAGCATGTGTTCATGGTACCTTGCCCTGCACTTCTACTGAACTCTGATTTACTGCTGGGTACAATTGCCTCCCACATGTTTTCTCACTATTACTTAGCCTTCTACAACAGTTCCTCTTTTAGGCTGCCTTTTATTATACTCCTACCAAAAACAAACAAACAAACAAAAAAAGATGCCTTTCTATAGCAGGTATTCCTTCCCTCTTAGACCATTCATCCATCCTCTGTCCTACCTTTGTAGGATATAAGCCCCACACTTTAAAAAACACAAGCTCCAAACTTCGTTGGTCTTGGTAGTACATGCATCCACTGGCAAAGCTGAATCTTTCATTAAGGTAGATTAAAGGAAAAAATTTACAAAGACAAGCCACAAAACAAGCAGCACCATTTGTTCGTCTGCATCCATGCCTACCACCCAAGAAGAGTACTGGCAATCTGTACCGCCTACCCTGCAGAAAAGTGACTTACCACAACCAGGAAGCCTACTTCTGTCCCAAAGCACACTTCCTCTGAGCGCCAGTTTTTCTAGCAATCCTCAACAAGACACACACATGTAGACACAGCAGCGGCAGGCTGCTTGCTTCCTGTGGTACCACAGAACCATTATGGTTGGAAAAGACCTCCAATATCATCTGGTCCAACCATTGCCCTGCCACCAAATCACTCTCTCTGCTTTTGGACAGGCTGTTTAACTGCAGACTGGCAACTACGAAGCCAAGACTCTCGTTGTTTTATTTTTAAACATGAAACGTTTATTGATGTTTAATACCACAAGCAAGACAGCGCTCTAGTCAACTGAAAACACTCAGCCTGCACAACACCGTAATTCATGGAGCAATCAGTCTACCGTGGTATTGTCTGGCTCACCTGTGAAAGAAAGAGGAACTTCTCCTCCACATGAAAGGTTCTCTTATCATATAGATAAGCGACTACAATAACTAGCCTTCAAAACTGTTAAACAACACCAACGGATGTTGTTGCTCCACTACTACCTAAATGTGTAATCAGTTTGCCTGATCTCTTCAAGGCCACTTGCATCTTGACACCTGTATCAAAAATTGGACAGAATAAGAACGTCCAAAACGTATGGAGTGAAGAACAAAAATTACTTGTTGCTGATCCGTTCTCACACCTCCAACAACAGAAAAGCTGCCAGCGTAACAAGGAAAGAAATAATCACAAGTGAGTGTGACTGCACAGCTGACAGCCATTACAGCAGCATACCAGCGTTAGCTGATGAATCCAAACACAACCAGCATATTGTGAACGCATCAGCCAAGCAGCACAGATGCCTCCATGAGCAAGCTTTGTCACATTTCCACGAAAACCATAAGTTATTGCAGGAAATGGGCCTGCTGCAGAGCTGCGAGTACTGGTCCTCACGGGCCGGCTGTGACAGGCTTCTGGGCTCTTTGCAGAGCCAGGCCCAAGCGAAAGAGACAGAAACAAGCGCTGAAAAGAGCAAAGACAAGCGCTTATCTGTGGTGCTGTGCGTTGTGTTAGCTTAGTGAAAACGTTGATTATGTGTAGTATTTTGCTCACCAGAGTACAGAAAGGTTTTTTCCTCTCTGAAAACCTTAATATGTGGAAAAGGACTAGTGGTGGGGGCAGCAGCGTGTAAATGGGGAAGCTGCAGGTATTTTCAGGCAGCGAGCTGTGCTTGAGGGGCAGAGCCATTCCACCCCCGGTTACCAGGTTACCGAGCGGCCCCCACACGACACACTGACCCCTTTACCCCTCCCGATGTGCAAACCGCTGCCAGACCTCCACACCGTGATATAAACCCCCCCACAGCCCCGCAGCGGGGCAGCGGCCGCGCTCTGCCCGCACTCACCCGCTCCCTGCGCCCCGCCCGAGGCCGGGGAGCCGGGCCCGCCGCCGCCATCCTCTCCTGCGCCCCGCTCCTCGCCATCACCGCGTCCCCCAGCCTGGGGGGCTGCCTGCCCACGACCCCCCGGGGGCCCGGCCTCCTGCCCCGCGCCGTTTCGCCGCCTCTCGAAGCGGAACCGGTCGAGGTTGAAGAGGCTCATGCCGGGAGCGCGGCGCCCTCCGCCCGCCTCACGGGCACCTGCCGCGCATCTGGCGCGAGCCCCGCCGGAACCAGCCGAAAAGAGCCGAACAGAGCCGAAGACGGAGCCGAAAACAGCCGAAGACGGAGCCGAAGCCCAAGGCGGCGGGACCCCGGCTGGCCCCGATGGCGGCTGCCCCGCAGAGCCGGCGCTGCGCTATGGCGTCACAGAGCCCCTCCCGCCCGCTTGGCTTCGCGCGGTTTCGGAGCGGCCGCCGTTGGTCGCCGGGGAGATGGCGGCGGCCTGAGGGGAGGGGAGGGGAGGAAGGGGATGAGGGGGGAATAACGCGCTGCAAGGCAGGGCAGGAGGAAATAAACGTTATCTCGGGCAGCCGGGTGCTGCTGCTGTTAAAAACCTTCTGGAGAAGTTGTGCTATCAAATAAAGAAACACGAACCACTTCCACATCCATCCCGCCAGGTCCAGCACTGTGCTCACACTTCGCTCCTTCGCCTTTACCATCATCCACTTTGCTCCTTCACTGTTACCATTACACACTTTGCTCTTTCGCCATCACCATTACACACCACTTACTTAAATTACCAGCAGCTCAGATGCCCGACGTGGGGTCACGGCTGTGCCGTGTGGGGTGGGTTATCTGCCCCTGCCAGCACTGCGTGGGGCAGGACTCGACGTGCCAAACACACTGTAGCCTGAAAACGGGAGCGTTTCCAAGTGTTTCCAGAGATGGCACCTACGCGCACATTAGGTCTACCTGGGAATTTCTTTCTATCAATGTTATTTTCTGTCATCGGTATTCATCAGTAGTCTTGGCTGCTTCATACTGAATCGTTATCGTCATTATAATGAAGTCTGCTCCCCTCGAAGGGACTCTCTCAAAGAAGTAGTCAATGCTCGCTTTGCCCCATGACCTTAACAACACATTACAGCGCTCAACAAACACACATACACCCAGCACAAGCAGATAATCTGACTCATTTGTACCCAATTGCAGTTCTTTTGCCCTTTCCATCAGGAAAAGGGCAAGGAGAAGTGGTACGGACTTCAAAATGCTTCTTCCTGTCGCATACCTAAGTAACAAACCCATCAGTGTCTTTCAGTACTGTCTTCTCTTATTCCACAGTGCTGTTGTGGAAGTTTGTCTTTTTCATCTATTCTAGAGCAAGAATAGAAAAGTGACCACTGAACAGGTAAATAAGTAACATAATTAAGCTCTGAGGAGCAAACTTATTTGGAGGAACCATTTTCCAATCCAGGCTTCAGTAAAGATGTCTTGCTTTCAGGTCAAATATTAATCTCATATTTGGATAGCAGAGGACTTGAAATAGGAAAAGTTTAAGTTGAACCTGTAAATTGAATGAAAGTCAGATTTTCCCCGCAGAGACAGATGCAGGTAGATTTGCAGAGGTGGCAGGTGGTGGAAGTCTTGATGGTTCAGAAGTCATATGAGGTTATTGTCTGAGGAAGGCTAAATTGCACCGAGGAAAAAATGAGTGCTTGGGCTACAGACACTGGTGACATAAAAAGGCAACTGCTGTGTGGCTCTTCGAGGAGAATTCTGCTTTACAACTCATGTCTATGGTAAATAATGCAAACATCAGGTCAGCCTGAGAAAGGGAGAGGGAATGATGGTTGATAGTCGGCTGAATATGAGCCAGCAGTGTGCTCAGGTGGCCAAGAAGGCCAACGGCATCCTGGCTTGCATAAGAAACAGTGTGACCAGCAGGGCTAGGGAGGTGATCGTCCCCCTGTACTCGGCTCTGGTGAGGCTGCACCTCGAGTACTGTGTTCAGTTTGGGACCCCTCGCTACAAGAAGGACATCGAGGTGCTTGAGCGGGTCCAAAGAAGGGCGACGAAGCTGGTGAGGGGCCTGGAGAACAAGTCCTATGAGGAGCGGCTGAAGGATCTGGGCTTGTTCAGCCTGGAGAAGAGGAGGCTCAGGGGCAACCTTATTGCTCTCTACAGATACCTTAAAGGAGGCTGTAGCGAGGTGGGGGTTGGCCTGTTCTCCCACGTGCCTGGTGACGGGATGAGGGGGAATGGCCTCAAGTTGCGCCAGGGGAGGTTTAGGTTGGATGTTAGGAAGAACTTCTTTACTGAAAGGGTTGTTAGGCACTGGAACAGGCTGCCCAGGGAGGTGGTGGAGTCACCATTCCTGGAGGTCTTTAAAAGACGTTTAGATGTAGAGCTTAGGGATATGGTTTAGTGGGGACTGTTAGCGTTAGGTCAGAGGTTGGACTCGATGATCTTGAGGTCTCTTCCAACCTAGAAATTCTGTGATTCTGTGATCTGCCTGTCATACAGGCTCTGGACACTACCAGCTGACACATTTACACTCATATTCCACCCACCTAAAAGGCTCGTTACTCCTCTGAAATGAAATAGTGGAGTTTGTAGGAACCTAAGATGGTTGAGGATCAGAAGAAGAAAAAGGATGGACTATGAGGGCACTTTCACATCCTCTTGGGATCTAATAACCATCACAAAGCTCATCACCTTCTTTGCAAAGTATTTATGCTAGTGCTAACATGTCTGGCATGATTGCCTGACACAAACTTACAGCAACACACATATACATCCATAGTTTAAAAAATCCAGACAACACAGAGCCCATTCTTTCCTTGAGGTGAGACTAATTTGTGTGTGATAGACATTAAGCCACATTGCTTAACTGACTGCAAGGACAAAGTCAAATACTGAGGGAGTACTAACAGAAGACTTGGGAAAGGAAGGTGACTGGAGAAAGCCAGTGTAAAGGGAAATGTCAACTCAGGTCAGAGTTTATTTTTGACTCAACAAGGCAGGCTGTACCACCAGTCTTGGGGAAAAAAAAAAAAAAAAAAAGTCACAAATTCCAGAAATTGGGGAAAAAAATCAGATAAAAGCTAAAAAAAAAAACACTGAAAATGAAAGGGATGAAATTCAACACTCCAGAACATGTCAGATTTTAAAAGCATTGCGTTAACAGGAATTAGCATGAATCTGGAAATTGCTGTAGTAGATTATTTCATATTTTTTTCAAGCTTTGAACTTGTAAAGACTAGGTAATTGGGAGGTATTAGTATTATTAATATGCTATACTGAATTCCTGGCAAGCAAGGCAGGAAAAACGTCTGAGGTGGTAGTGGTGCCAGTTAGACAGCTCATGCCTACTGGAGAACTGGCAGACTGCTCTCTGCTATTGTTCTGAAGGGTGATTTGTGATGTTTTTTTGAAAGAACCTTGTTCTAAACCTCAGTAGCAGAAATACGAGGGGAAGCTGTTTACACAGAGAATTGCTTTACATGCAACATTGAAGTCGTTAAATTTGATTGTTTTACTTCAGCTGCAGTTTTGTTGCTATGCCAGCGATGAAGTCAAGCATACCAGGTGGCGTGGAGGCCTTCTGAGATAATTGTGAAGGTTTATAAAGCAGTGGTATAAAATAATGGCCCAAACACTGAGAGTAGAAAAGAAAACAAAAATGTCAGGTTAAAATCACTCCTTTCAAAATTGATGCATATTCAAGCATCATCTTGAGTAGAAGTAAAATCAATTCTAATAGTTTGATAATAGACATTAAAGCCTGTCTAGATGCAAAAAGTCGCAATTTACACGTTACAGATAGACAAGGTATTAGTAAAAATTCTGTTTATTCGTAAGCAGTGGCCTAGACGAAACATCTCTATCACCATTCCTAATAAGTGTGTTTTTTTCAACTACTATTCTTTTGTTGTTGGTTTATGCCCATTTTATGCCCTGTCACAACTAGAAATATTGGTAGAGATGCTGTCTTGTGTAAAAGAAAAAAAAAAAAGTGAGGGGGAAGGTCTGCATTGATTACCATGTGAGAACGTGCCAAAGCTACACCAGAGTGGGATAAAATCAACAGGGTCTGTGATATAGGTTCCCATAGCACATCTGTCGGTGCTTGCCCCCAAACATTGGATGGGATTGGTGGGAAGTGCTTCTGCTTTGTTATAAATCGTGAGCAACAAGACAAGCTGTCAGATGGAGATGGGTTTGTACTTGATCATAAATTCAAAAAAAAAAAATCTAATAAAATGTTTAAACTAGTTCATACAGCTGCAGTTGGAAAAGCGATGGGAGTTGCACGTTGTACATGATGTTGCTGTAGCAACCCCGCCATAATTAAATCCACGAATATCCAAACTATTTTGATGTGCGAGCTGCACAGTGGTTACAGAGTAAGGCCTCAGGTTGGAACTGTCCCAGAGCTGTCTCTTTTCGTTCATACCCAAGGGGGTTATTACTTCTTGATGTCCATTGAATAGACAGCTTTCTCTATTTGGGAGACAATAAAAAACAACATCCTTTGAGGAAAAATAAGAGGATAAGCTGGGTTTTGTAGAACAGCATTGGTATTGCTTTACATAATCCTCATTTTTTGGTGCCTACAGATACTTTAAAAGTCTTTAGCACAGTTCATATCACAGAATCATCCAGGTTGAAAGAGACCTCCAAGACCACTGAGTCCAACCTCTGACCTACACTAACAAGTCCTCCACTAAACCATGTCACAACATCTAAACGTCTTTTAACGACCTCCAGGGATGGTGACTCCACCACTTCCCTGGGCAGCCTGTTCCAATGCCTCACAACCCTCTCAGAAAAGAAGTTCTTCCTAATATCCAACCTAAACCTCCCCTGGCGCAACTTGAAGCCATTCCCCCTCATCCTGTCACCAGGCACGTGGGAGAACAGACCAATCCCCACCTCGTTACAGCCTCCTTTAAGGTACTTAAAAGACCGATAAGGTCGCCCCTGAGCCTCCTCTTCTCCAGGCTGAACAAGCCCAGCTCCCTCAGCTGCTCCTCGTAGGCCTTGTTCTCCAGGCCCCTCACCAGCTTTGTCACCTGCTCAAGCCCATATGCACAGCTTTCCACCCTTCCACACTGTGCTGCCCTCCTGCAAAGATGTACATACTATAATGTCTAACTGTGCACTCTAAGCAGTCCTGCTGAACATGAAGGCCTTTGTATGGCACTGTTTCATTTGTAATGGCTCAATGAGAATGTAAACAACTCTATTTGGGAACAGCAGGGTTAATGCGCTTGATTTCCTATTAGTTTAGGACTTCGTCCTCCATATCCCCCTCTATCTGTCTCTACATAGTGTTGTGGCTCCCCATGTAAGCCCCGCATGATAACCTCACCCAGCAAAGACAGCTGCCTCACCATAGCACGTGCAGTATCCACTGAGCAGCTGACTGCAACAGGAAAGCCTTTTCCTCTCCGAGTATCACTTCCAAGGAACTTCTTATTGTGAGGACTTCTGCTTCTCTTTCAAATTTAGTTGAAACTTAGATGTCCATTTCAGAAGGTTTTGTGGGGAGCAGGAAGGAAGAGTTTGCTGGGTTGGAAACTTGTCCTGCTTAGAAAACTGGGCTAAATATTACAGCAGCCAACAGTCCCCTGTAGTAAGCTTCAGTCGTTTGAAGACGTCATTTTGACACCTGTGAAATTACATATTTACAATAATAACTATAGAAGGAAGGTAGTAAAGGGTCTCTAAGCTGTTAGGAGACTTCAGTTCTTAGGCATTTTCTGTTCAAACATTTTGTTTGTTTGTTTTTCTGTCTAAACTAACTTCATTTTGATGCGAGAAGGTTGGGAATGTATTTGGAAGGAGTAGAGCAAAAGGGGGCTCTTCTCAGAAAGCAAACTCAGGCAAGACAAAAGCCAAAGGGGCATTTCTGGAGAGCTTGAGCACTGATTAATTACCATCAGTATTTTGTGTCTTCCAGTCTCATTACAGGATCATATCATGGTCAGGAGTGCAAATTAAAATATTTGCAATGTCAAACTCTCCTGAGTCTTCTGGTCTCTACGTGCGAGGTCTTGGAAGCGATACAGCAAGATCCCTACTTCAGGGGAGTTTGTTGGCCGAGTATTACCTATTAATGCTCCTGCATGTTTAGATATGCATTCCTCATTGTTTTTGTATCTTGTTCTTCGTGTTAAATATGACTGCTACAAAAATTTCCTGCATAAAGCAGGAATTGCTACTGAAGCATGCTGAATGGAACTTAGCCAAATGAGTAATGCCCAATCTATTGCTGATTGCACAAATAGTAGAACTACACTAGTTATTTTCCAGAAATGCTTTCTACACATGAAATAAGATTTTGAAACCATTTATTTCTCTGAATGTGGAGACATTTATAGAATGTTTGCTTACAAAAGTGTGAATTTCACTTTAAAAGTACCGTCTAATTTCTCAAAGTTAATTCACAATCTTAAAGTCTTAAACTGTGTGCAGTACTAGTTTGGAATAATTGTTTAAGTGGGTGATTCAGTCCAGCATTAAAAAAACAAAACAAAAACAAAAAAAAAAAAAACAAACTTTACTGCTTTCCATATACGTTGGAGTAGCAACTTGGTTGTGAACTGCAGCTACTAAGGTTAATACTGCTTCCTTTTTACGTACCTCTAGAAGGTACAAAAAGACCTAACGACCTAAAGATGTACCTAAAGATTTAATGGTTGACATTTCCTGTTGGTTTTCCTAAGAAATGAAAATAGACTAGTCTGAATTTGTTCTTTATTTGTCCTGATTAAAAGCTTCGTTCCATGAAATACATCTTCAACCTATGGTTTATGCCAGAGGACTTTCTTGTGTCCAGATCCTTTCCTTACAAGCATCTGCTGGTAGTAGTATTACAGGTATATACTGATAGATTTATCTGAGGCTGGAATATCAGTTTCATTGGAACAATCAGGGAGTTTCACATTTCGTTCTGCCCCTGCTGTACTTGCACTTGGGCACAGCAGATCACCCATGCAGAGTTCATCGCAGGACTACAGTCTATCTTTAGATCCTTTATAGCATTCTTGATAGGGCATAGTCAAGGGTGATCATCTAATGCAAGTTTTGTCTTCCCTCATCATTCCTGATTTAGTGGTGTCCTCCATATCCTAAGCACTTTGAATCAACATCGGTTCAGATAATTATGCTAGAAAGGAAAGCAGTAGTCACAGTTTATTTAATACTTAAAAGAGTTAAGCACATTTGAATGAAATGCAGCTTAATCAAAATCAGTTTTGCCTGAAGTGCTGGACGTATGACCTTTGGAATGATAACAAGTCATATATTTCTTTTTCCCATAAGTAATTAATGGTGTTATTAACTAGTGAAATATCCAGTATAATAGTATGTCTTATCATTATATTTTAAAACAACACTGGTCTGAATGCACACACAAAATTACATTTTTAAGATGTTCTAAGGTAAGATGTTATTTTAAAAATGGGGACATTTCTTAAAACTCAAAAGATCTTTGTATAGCAAAACCTACCATAATGCCTGGGGAAATATAATACAGATTTTTTGATCACAAAACCCTAAATATACCTAGAAACGCACTTCTTACTAAAATTAAAAAAATAAAAATACTTTACAGTATTTTTTTTTAATTTAAGTTCCTTTGTAACCTTCTATACTTTGTTGTTTCAATTTTATGTATTTAAAATCTTGAGTAAAAGTTTGCCATATAGAAATAGATAAAATTCCTTCATTCCTGCTTCTGTAATTGGATCAATGCACTTGGTTACACTGTATTTTGCTTTCCAGGAAAATAAGTCTTAATCCTAAAACTACATCTTAATATTAGAATAATATTTTTACCTCTTGATGCCAAACCTGACAATCAGCCATTTCATTAAGAAGTTATCTTGACATGGGATTTTAGAAAAGCTCACATAGTTAAACTAGGATTTACGCATTTTTTTTTTTTATATTAACTGCCTTTTAATTCATTTAGGTAACATTATAAACCTTTTCATAGTAACGATTACTGGTAGGCTGCATTTGACTATCTGCACTCAGTAAAAGCTTCACACCTTTAAATGTTGGAGGAAAGGATGACACTTCTCTGCTGATATATCTACGTAGTGAGATTTTGCATTAACTCTAAATTGCAGGATACTTTTTTAGGGCTGCAACATGAGAAGCTGAACCTTGAAACGCTCTTAATGAGAGGGAATTATTATGCCAATAAAATTTCAAAGAAGTTATAAGCACTTAATGGCCACTCCCCACCCCAGGCTAAGGAGCAACAGGCACCGTGGATTTGTGAAAAAGCAAGGCGAAAACAATTTTCTTTGTTTTGCATCAGGGCAGGAAGGCTCATGAATATGGGAAAACCAGCAAATTTTGTATATGTTGACTTTAGTAAGGCTTTTTGCACTGTGCCATTGTGGCATATCCATAAATCAGGGTATCCTGTAGCATAGCTATGAGCTATGGAAACATGGTCTAGATTAGACTCCAGAATTGGTTAAAAGCCAACATAGCAGTCAACATATAGGAGCATATGAAATGGAATTGTGTTCACATGGCCCCTATTTAGTCTTTTTATTTACAACGCGGGTCAAGGAATAAACACTTGGAATACTAAATTTGAAGGTGATAGAAAACTGAGAAGGGACTGTAAGTATGCTGGAGGTCAAGATTAAAATTCAAAGTCATCTTGCCTAAGTGAAGAAATTGTTTGAAAACAATAGCATGTTATGCAACAGCAACAAGGACTGGTTCCACACAGTATATATAAAAAATGCAGAAATACAGTACAGGAAAAAAAGAAAAAAAAAGCCTAAGTAACCATTCTGCAGAAGCAAATCTAGGAGTGATAACAGGTCATGCCATTATGAAAAATGGAAACATCACACTTGGTTGTAGGAGGATGTGTACACGCCTAACACTACACTCTCCTTTGAGTACAACTATTACACTCTGTGCCCAGTAAGGCAAGAGCACTGTGTCCAGTTTGAGGCATACAGCTCTTTTGTCGTGGCTGAATTTGAGATAGTCCAGAAAAAACTCCGTTCTCATTTCTCTAGAAGTTGGCCTTTAAAGGAGGATTAAATGATCTGGAGTTGCTGAATATAAAATAGAGAATACTGAGGAGAGCATGTCTTGAAGTACCCAGAAAGGTGCTGCAAGAAACACAGAAATGTCTGTGTCCTATTTTCTTGAAAAACAGAACAAGTAGTGCTTGCATTAGGCTTAAGAAATTCTTCCAGACTATAGAAATAATTAAACACTGGAGTATAACATCTGGTGAGGTGAATTCTTCATCATTAGAGTCTTTTAAGAACCTGTTAGACAAACAGCTGTCAAAGCTGACTAACTTGGAAGTTGATCCTGCCTTTGGGCAGAGAATGGACGGGATGATCTGCAGCCCCTCCCAGCTCATTTTCTTTAATGATTCTTTCTTTCTCTGTTTCATTATGTTTTTCCCAGATTCTTAACCTTCCTTCTTGCACCTGATTTTAACAAGAACAATATGTAGACCTTACGGGGGCTTTCCTTAGTTTAGCCTTTTCATTGTTTTTTACCATGCAATACAACAATATCAGGTGAACAAGTCCATGCAGTTGATTTTAATACATTATGCTTCAAATAGGGAGAAATAGTCAGCAGTTTTTTACAATATGGGCTGTAATTAAATTAACAGGGGTGTAATCAACCCCCCAAAGTTTTTACCAATTTCTAACTTTTATATTCAATTATTTTTGGAGGGCAGGGGAAGGGGAATATTTAGTAAGTATTTCTAAAGACATGCTTCACATGTAAGGCTTTGCTGAAATTTTCAATTAAAACAGAATAAACCTTTTGGGATGAAAACAAATGTGCCTTTTAATTGGCATGGCAGCATAAAACACAAATACATTGTATTGCCTACATTGCAAAAGCCAAAAGGATATTTGCTAAGTATTCCCTAGCTGGTACTACAGTGTGTTATTTTCTAATTCACTGCTATGCTGACAGCTCAGTTTTCAAATGAACTTTAAGTAAATTCATTAACATTTCTGTCACTTCTCTGTTACTTTTATTTAAAAATGAAGCACTTTCTCTCATTTAAATAGACTAAGATTATTAAAATGCATATTCTCATGCCTTTGTCTCTTCTATGGGTATTTGGTTAAACAATCTAATCACTGACAGAATTTTCTACCAGAGGAAGACAAGCTGCATCATCTGCACATCAAGCATTTCATTACTGTTCCATTAATTTCTTCAGTGCCAATCTGGAAAAATCTCTCCACTGCTACCTGTAGTAAAAAATTATTTCTGTGATAAATTTTGGCCCGCTAGGAGATTTCATTTCCTGCAGAAATAGGTCGCCCAACATCTAAGCAAGGTGAGCGGGATGAGGGATGCTAGCTGATTTAGAAAGCAAGCAAAGCTCATTCTCATGTCCACCAGGGGGAGGAAAATGCCATGAGGGTTTGTAGTGAGCCGAAGCTCAACAAAAGCAGTTTACAACCATCTTTTTTTTTTTTTTTAAAAAAAAAAAAAAAAAAAAAAAAAAAAAAAACAAACTTTTCAGAGACTTGGATCCATCACTTGCAATAGTAGTCATACTGAATTAATTTCCAGAAAACTCTTTTAGCTTTTTCTTCTAAAATACTGTGAAAAAGTTGATTTTTTAAACTTATTTCATAAACATAT